GATAAAACTCCTGTGGGATTGTTTATTTTTGAAACCACGAAAAGCGACTCATTTCGCAATAAATATAACCTAAGTACTGAATCGATTCTGATGACATTTGTTACAGTCGTACAGCCGTAGAATATACCTTGGCAAACACTAATTCAAAACCCCAATTGTTACCAGAAGTCATTATATTACGCGGACACGCGGACTAAGTCGCGGGTAACAGCTAGTCTATAATAAATTTCTAGGTTCAGAGAATAAGAATGAATAAATTAATTATTCCCACGACCTTGGTGATTATTTATTACTTACTAGGTGACCCGGCAAACTTCGAACCGCCTAAAAAAACTTTTTTTACCCAAATTCACTTATTCGTCACCTTTTAAACCTTCCCTGGACTTCCACGAACTTTTCAAGACTATAATTAGCCAAATCGGTTTAGCCGTTCGCAATTTTTAATGAGACTAACAAACGGAAATTCATTTTTATGTATATAGATAGATAGATAGATAGATAGATAGATTTTTTAACGTTGCTACACACTAGGATTTTCTCCTGTGTCGTGGGTGCATTTACAAACATAAAAGTTCATATAGACATGACACCCAGACCCGGACCAACGATCTGTGGATCACACAAAGAGTTGTTCCGTGCGTTTGATCTGATATCATATCATATCTTAATGGCCACAAAACTGTTAAATTATTATTTATTAAGGTTATAATGAATAATTTTGTATAGAATTTATACCATTGACGTAACAGTTTTGCGTTTGACTATTATTATGCCGATTCTACTTAAATTGGATGTAGTTATTAAAATTCCAACCATTACTTGGTTGTTACTCGGCCAGTTAAGTCTAATCAATGGCTAAGTTACTCCGACACCATCGTTTATTGTTCCATCAACTACGACAGGTACATCATCATAAGCTGAATGCTCCTGCTATAAATCTGGATACAGAGAAGAAATCATTCCAAGCTGTCCTCCCAGAAATTATTGACTGCGCTATCACTAGGCCTAAACTACAAGAGCTGCCTGAGGTCACAACATGGTTGAAGCAGGTTTGTGAATAATTTGTTTTATGATCCGTCTTTCGATACGAGATGTGTGCTGTACTGCTGTTCATGCAATTTAATATTCGCGGGACAGGAGGCGGGGCGCTTTAGGGAACGAATCTCCTCCCGCCCCAGCCGTCGCGAAAGACATCGAGAATCGCGACACTATCTCCGACCATGCAAGCACGGGCCTGCAGCCGGCGAGCACGGATAACTCGCTGCACGACCAGAACAGACCCCAGTGTGCGGCGCGTCCAGTTCTGCGCGCGCCTCAAAGAGCCATCAGACCACCACAGATGGGGTAGGGCTAAAGACGATACGGGGCTAAAGCCGCGGACGACTAAATGGGTTGCTGGGGCTGCGGCTCGAAGAGCTGCAATGTAGAGCAATGAGGGAGACGTGTTGTTCTTATGAATATCTTTAATTAAGTGTCTTATTAACTAATCTAACACTCGGTATGACATCATTTACCTATAGGTACAGGCATGGGAACATTCCTTCATTAACATTCCTGCATTTATTAATGTTTTACCAAAATAAAAAAGATATTTTTACAAAATTTCAGTGAATGAAAAGTATTGGATTAATTGTCAACAGGCGTGAAGGTACAATATGTATTATCTACTAATATTATTTTTCTTAAGTTACTTATTCCTATTTCTTAATTTATTCGTTAGGTGTCCACTCACACACATTATCACTAAAACACTTAACACTATTTCGTCGCCAGGGTAGCGGAGACAATCTCGGACGCTCCCTGGTCGCCAACATCTTCCGGCTCCATCATCTCGGACACCAACTGCTCCCGGCAGGTCCACATCTGACTGTATTGACACCCGACAGCCACCAAAATCTCATCACTTTTTTACATTTTTGCGAACACTGATACGCACTTTTAGTTTAATAAATTTTTCAAAGGTTAGTCTCGTGCTCAGCGCTGCCTTCGTGGCAGCACTGGCAGGGTCGCAATGCAATGTGGAGCAATGAGGCAGACATGTTGTTCTTATGAATATCTTTAATTAAGTGTCTTATTAAGTAACTTGCACTACTTACTTATAGGGCAAGGTGTCACACACTACAGAGCAGAAGTAGGAACGGGGTGGTTTTTAGTCAGTAAGAGTCTGACACTCCCTCTCGCTCGCCTAACCCAAGACGGGAGAAGCCATTGGATGATTTTCCCACCTCAAAAAGAAAAAGCATTCTCGGGACACACAATCAATCTACCATATTGAACATAAATATTAATTTTGCTCCGCTATAGGTAGTGCCTAAATTAAATGAATCATGATGAATAAACCTATACGCATTATGTATATATTATTTTTTGTTATATTATTATGTATATTATATTATTACCTACAATATTATTGTGCAGTATATTTTCATTATTTATATCGTATATTCTTCATATATTTTGTGTAGCATGTATATCAGAGTTTTATGTAAATATATATAATGTACTAGCTGTGCCCGCGACTTCGTTCGCGTGGAATAGTGACTATGAGCAGCGTTTTTTTTTACATATATACTTATTTTTATTTTGGATCATAATCACAGTCATTTTGTATATATAAGCATAGAATAGTGTTCGACGTGATTCATTAATTTGACATACCTTTTTTATTTATGAACCGATTGACATGAAACAAACACTAAAGCATAACTGAAGCATACCACAATATATTCGTGAAAACCGCATCCAACTCGGATCAGCCGTTTCTGAGATTAGCGTGAACAGACAAACAGACAAACAGACAAAAAAAAAGTTAATTACATTTTTGGGTTCGACATCGACATAACAACAGCCCCTGCTATTTTTTTTATTTTTATTTTCAATGTACAGACAGCACTTTTCTACAATTTTATTATATGTATAGATATAGATATTATATACTGCACAGTTGGCGCGGTAGCTCGGCAACCGGCAGCCGAGAACGTGTAGCGGGTTCGATTCCAGCACCGAGCATCTCTTTGGGTGATCCACAAATTGTTGTTTCATGTCTGGGCGTTATGTGTATGTGATATTGTATGTTTGCAAACGCACCCTCGACACAGGAAAAATCCTAGTGTGGAGCAACGTTTAAAAAAATTGCTAAATTAATAGTCACTTTGTTTTACAGCTTATGCACCTACCATGTACCTCTCTAAGGTAGACTGTGAGAGAATGCCCTAAGCATTAAGTCTACCTTGTACAGTATGTGCAGACGAATAAAAAATAAGATAAATATATATGTATGTATTTAATTTCTTTTTATTTCGCCTAAGTCATAAATTCATTAATGATTGTTGATTTGACGATACTCTGAATTTTCACATTTTTCTAACTTTTTTGAAATAAGTACCTACCTACTTAGATACATACCTAGTATGCAATTTGACGCAAAAATATGACGACACAACACACCATCTTATCTAAAATTCATAAAATTAAAGAAAATTATCATTTTTGACATTTAAAAATATTCAAATGGATCGCCGATTATTACCTACTTTTTTACAGCTTTTAGAATATACGTTAGTTGGAGGAAAACTGGGTAGAGGACTAATGATACCCATGGGATACAAAGGATTTGAAGAACCTGAAAATTTTTCAGAGAAAACACTGCACTGTGCGCGCGTTCTAGGCTGGTGTATAGAAATGGTACGCAATACATATTTATATAAAACTTTTATTTTAAAATAGGTTGCCAATGTGGTTGTTGTAGTGTGCTTTAAAGTTAAGGCATATCTTCAAGAGATCATGGTATAGTTTTTTATAACAATGGCGTCTCTTAGATGACCCTAAATCTAACCTACGTCAATAATAATGATTTTGCAGGTTATTTTTATTATCTAAACGCATTTTAACGCCACTTATAAGTGCGTGTGTACATTTTTACATCCAAGGTGTATTTTTTAAACCGTGACAGTTCTCGGGGGCATCTTACAGAAGTCATAAATATTCAATTTAGGAAAATATTTCTGGCCAATAGTTAAAAATGCGCCTATAATAAATTGTTCAATTTTGACAGTATTACAGAATAAGTAACAGCAATTTAAATAAAATAAACAGCCGCAGTAGCCAAATGCCATTTAGCGCGTGTCCACTTATAGAATAGAAAACCAAATTATATGGAATTGACGTAAATTTGGACACTTATCACTGTCATCCTCATACATTTAGTTTTCTACTCTCTCTGTAGACAAGCTAAAATGGCGTTTGGCTAAACGCACAGAATCACCAGATATGTCAATGTGTACCTACGTAGCAAAACAATAGTCAAGACAGTATTTAAGAAAGCGAAAAATAATAATCTCGTACATACATTCATGATTTTTAATTGATAATAACACCTTTAATAATCCTTAAATTCAGAAACAATCAATGTAAGTAGGTACACGTTATCTTCAAAGAAAAGTTCACGTAGGTATCAATGGTAGTCATCAGCTAATTCGTAACACTGTGTAATGCTTTACTTATTACTTTTTATTGCAATCCTGATGAATACTAATAATTCTAAACTTAGTAATTTGAGGTCTGAATAATAAAAATTCATAGCCAAGTAGTACTAGTAGCCAGTAGGTAGGATCCAAGCGCTCAGCTGTTTGCGGCTACAATTTTAGGTAATAACGCATTGTAGGTAAGTTCAGTCCAAAGTTTCATAATCCACGTAGATACCTTCGAGTGCCAAGCACGAATCGGCGCTCTGATTGGCCGGCTCAAGTGAACCAACCAATCAGAACGCGTAACTCGCTCGGTACTGTAACGATACGAATGCGATAGTTATTCGTGCTTGGCCCACAGCTAATTCGTAATTATCTGACCCGCACTTATGGACCCGTACCTAATTTACAAAAAAATAAAATTAATTACCTACAATTTTTTTATTGATTCGGACTCAGAATCGATAGCCGAGTTACCTCCTAGAGAATGTCACGATTTACGAACGACACCTTGTATAATTAACATTAGGGAAATATGAGTGAATAAACAAGTTTAGAACGAATTTAAATAATGTTACTTTCTTGTCAGTCAAATGAAAATTCAAAATTGTCTTTTCACGTTCAACAGCTGCACTCATCGTTTTTAATATTAGATGACGTCATGGATGGCGGGAAAGTGCGACGTGGGAAGCCAAGTTGGCACCTGCATCGAAGTGCCAGCGTGTACGCTGTCAACGACGCGTTTATGATACAACAAGCCACGATGGATGTCCTTGAAGCATACTTCAGGAATTTACCCATTTATAACGACTTGATTAGTTACTTTAATGAGGTAAGAATCATTTAAAGGTTAAATAATTGTACCTAATGGGTTTAACCCTTTGAGTGTCTTCGCGGTGTTTGACAGTTTAACCCTTTGAGTACCGTCATTATAGACACAATTAAAGAACGATAGGTTGCGGTCACCGGTGTCCTCGCGGTGTTTGACAGTTTAAGACGCGTTCACTCTGAATGCAGAAACAAGAAAGCCAAGCGCAGTACAAGACGTGCACTCACAAAGCCCGTCTAACGTGGGAGAAGCCATTTGACGATTTTTCATCTTTATAAACAAGTGACCCATAAGCCACTGTCAACCGGCCGATCTCGATATTATTAGAGGCCTTTGTTTAGCATTATAGTATAACTGATATGATGACGCCCCCGTTAATTAGATATACATAAAATCTTGACAGCTGTAGAGAAAGTAGGTAGTTGCTCTGTAATAAAGCACATTGCTATTGTTCCAGGCAGTCTATCGAGTTACAATGGGCGAGCATATAGATCTATGTTCAAACTACAACAAGGAAATTGACAATATGGAAATATTTAACATGAGCCGCCTCGATGACATTGCCCTTAACAAGTCCTCGTTCTATACATTTAAGTTGCCAATTTTTGTCGCTCTCTTTCTTGTCAATAATGGACAGAACATGGCTACCACAGAACTACATCAGTTTTGTATAGAGTTAGGAAGATTGATGATAGTTCAGGTAAGTTGCTTAACGTCCCACTATATATATGTACATTAATTATTTTATAAATTCTAGTTATTTCAAAGGTCCACTCAAAAAAATTTAATAAAATGGGGCTTATTGTATTTTTGCTCACCAAATGACGATAGTATGAAACTCCTTTATTCGTCCAATAGGGAATTAGCTGGTGTCACACTATTGAACGTTCAATATGTGACAGCTGCTGTGATTGGACAAAAAACCCTTACTACATTTGCGTTATCTGGTGAATAAAACAATGTTAGCCCCCATTTAGAAGATATTTCTTTACCTAGGTACTTATTGAGTTTCACTCTTACTATATTTCTCTGTCGAAATATCAAATTATAAGAAGCCAAACTGGTACATTCTGAAAGAATGCAACCATTTGTTATATAATAAACTATTTTATTTTATTTCAAGGACGATTACATGGACGTATATGGTTGTGTAAAAGTCACGGGCAAAAATGGTAGAGATATCCAAGAAGGAAAAAGCACCTGGCTCGCAGTTACAGCGCTGCAGCGCTGCAACTCCGCTCAACTTTCGATCTTCAAAGAATACTACGGTAGCAATGACTTGGAACATGTGCAGCGCATCAAGCAGCTTTATGATGAACTGAAGCTGCCTGATGTGTATGAACAATATGAGCTCAAAATGTATAAACGTTTGTTGCATCGAATAAGCGAGGTACCTCATGCAGGGGGGAGGGATTATCTCTTAGCAATTTTGAATTATTGTTATAAACGAGTTAATTAAAACTTCGCATGATGATTATTGTTTCATTATTGTCTCATTTGCTTAGTTTACCTTCGTACAAATTATGGGAAAATGCCGTAAGGACTCGACTACCTCGCATTTGCACAGACAAATTTGAAAGTGTGGATATATTTAATTTGTCAAAGGCATCCTTTCGTAAGTCACTTGTATGTACAAATACTCACTAGTGTGTGTTTCTTGTCTCGGCGCAGATCAAGCTGCTCTACACCCGGCCTCTGAGGTGCTGCCGCTGCTACGTGGGGGCACACGTGAGCGCTAAATGCACTTCAGAGGTGGACCGCAGCGACTGCTGCTTCCGCTGCGGTCGGCCCGGTCACAGGGCCGGTGTGTGCACCGCCCCGCTGCACTGCAACGCATGTGTAGTGGCTGGCAAACCGGCCAATCACCGAGTCGGGAGCAAAGCCTGCTCCCCCCCCCCCCACCAAACCCAAGGACAAGGGTAGGCCCTTCGCCGCCCCCGTTGGTTCCGCCCCCGTCATTTCCGCCGCCGCCGCTGCCGCCACAATCGCTGCTGCCACCGTCGCCAGGGACGAGGAGGTCGTGATGGACTGCCAATAATGGCTCCATTCCGCCTCCTCCAGGTGAATGTCAACCACTGCGCCGCCGCTCAGGATCTCCTGCTCCAGAGCACAGTGGTCCATAAATGTAGCCGTGGTCTCCGAGCCGTATTTTGTCCCGCCCAGGGATCACTGGGTGGCGGACCTGGACGGCTCGGTGACCATCATCTCGTCGGCCGCCGCCGGTACCCCGACTCTTGAGGCTGCTCAAAGAGGCCGGAGTTGTGTCGCAGCACGGTTCGGAGAGCTCGCTGTGGTGGGCGTGTACTTCTCTCCGAACCGAACTTTCGCTGAGTTCCACAACCCTTTGAGGGAGTTGGTCACCGTCGTCGTCGGGTTTCGTTCCCTCCCCGTGCTCATCCTCTGGGACTTCAATGCCAAAAACTTGGCTTAAATTTGGCTTAAATGGGCTTAAATTTTTTAGGGTTAGTCTCTCATAAAATATCTCTCTTGTCTTGTGGTTCGTCAAAGTATTATTGGGTGTTTAGACTATTTCAGTTCTCAATAATGCTACAAAACAAAATATATTTATTATAATTATATAAAACTCTAAGTATTTACATTTTAAAGGTATAACACATAATGGTATGTTGTGTAACTGAAATATGTATAACCTATATAATGAGAAAAGTGATTTCATATTTTTAGACAACATTTAATCAATAAATATTTGTTTAAAGTTTAAATAAGTTATAATTTAAATATATAAATGGTGTCTTAATTAATTTTGTACCATTTTACCTAATTAGTAATGCTAATGGTAATAAACCATTTTAATCTCAATCGAAATAGCTAAAATTAAATATATGTAGATGTTCCAAGATTTATCGATGAACAATATTTCATCTCAACTTAAGGCCCTACCAACTTATTTGCGCGACCTGGTAGGTGGAGCCGACCCTGGTACGTACAATCATGGCACCCTAATGAAGAAGCCCTCTGCATCAATCAGCAGAAATGTTTGTAGCACCCTTTTAAAATTCGCGCAAGGAAGTGTGACTCCTCTCTAGACGGCAAGCCACGAATTCTGCGAACTAAATCTTCATAAACCGAACGTTCATACTCTTTATACAATTTTTCCATTTCTAATTCATCAAAAAGCTGCTTGATACGCTTTACATGTTCAGGGTTTTTACTGCCGTAGTTTTCTTTGAAGATAGAACGTTGTCCTTCGGTGCAGCGCTGCAGCGCTGTTACAGCAAACCAGGTTAATTTACCTTCTTGAATGTCCGTGCCCACCTTCCCTGTTTTGATATCGTCAACGAAGATATCTTTGTAGTCATTCTAAAAAAAAAAGATTGATAAAATAGTTGAAAACATGATTGTTGTTGCCCTCCATACCTTATAACAATCATTGCGCAGTGGCAAAAAGATGTAAATCTAGCTAATAAGTGCCAATATTACTTATTTTTTACCTGCAATTGCAGAAGTCTGCCAATATTCCAATCTATGTTATACGCTTCTTCTGAAAATGTTTTGCTCCTGTCCTTTACTAAAGTATGAGCTAACAGCATCGGGAATTTAAACGAATAGACTGCAGCTTTTACAAGAGTAAAATTATCAAAGTGCTCCTTTGTCAATTTGTCAAAGTTGTTCTTCTCTTTACTGTACCCATATAAGCAGTCTAGATGCTGACCTATACATATCTGGAATACTGTCTGAAAATAATGAAAATTTGTATAACATATGTGTTATTTGAATCAAATCTTAAATTTTCTAAGACCCGTTTGTTTCCAATCAAGTCCGCCAGTGGCCCGTGTTGCTCTATGCAATCAACAGTTTTTAGTAGGTAATGGAAGAATTCTGAAATATTTAAGTTATTCCTCTGATAAATAAAATTTATCTGGCTTTGGAAAAAACGGCCCTAAGAGATAGAAATTGGAGTCCAATTTTGAATGTATTATCTCAAAATTATCCTCCAATGTGTTGGTTAACCGTTAACGACATACCCCATGGGTAATTTTGACTAAATCACCATAGATTTTTTCCTTTCCGAAATACAGTTCCAATAATTCGAAGGCACAGGCCAGTAGGAGTCCACAGTCATTGACTGCTCCCAATCCAACACCGCTATGTATGTGCCAGCACTCCTTGCTTCTGCGAGTCTGTGACGAGTCCACGATATCATCAACCATGAGGACGTGTGATTCTATCTGTAAAAAAATATTCCTTAGAGAAACTGGCAGAACTCCTTAAAACTGACTGTCCGGTTGCCGCAATCGGGCATTGAGTGACCGAGTCTAGCACAACGTGCTGTTTCGATTCATACATGTACTCACTATTTCCACAACCCACCCCAAAATCCGTGCTCTATGGAGGTTTTCTTCTGTGAAATGTTTTGGGTCTTCCATCATTTCATAGGCAAAGGGTACTACCAAACCTCTACTCCGTTTACCACCTTCCAGTGTGTAATCTAGTAACTGTAACAATACAGGCCAAGTAGAGATAAATGGATAAAAGAAAAATATGTTTTTTTATCTTATTTGTTTAACAAGGTTCCACAGCACTGCTTCGGCTAATCTATATATATATAATTCAAAGGTGATTGACTGACTGACTGACTGACATAGTGATCTATCAACGCACAGCCCAAACCGCTGGATAGATTGGGCTAAAATTTGGAATACAGATAGATGTTATGACGTAGGCATCCGCTAAGAAAGGATTTTGATAATTTCCACCCCCAAGGGGGTAAAAAAGGGGATGAAAGTTTGTATGAAACTTTGTCAGTTTTAAACCGATCGGGTTTAAATTTGGCATGCAGATAGATGTTATGACGTAAGCATCCGCTGTGAAAGGATTTTGATGATTTGCACCCCCAAGGGGGTAAAATAGGGGATGAAAGTTTGTATGAGTCTTTGTCAGTTTTAAATCGATCGGATTGAAATTTGACATGCAGATAGATGTTATCATATAAGCATCCGCTAAGAAAGGATTTTGATCATTTCCACCCCTAAGGGGGTAAAATAGGGGGTGAATATTTATATGAAGCTTTGACAGTTTTACACCGATGCAGATGAAATTCGGCATGCAGGTAGATGTTATGACGTAGGCATCCCCAAGTAAGGATTTTGATTATTTCCACCTCCAATGGGGTAATGTAGGAGATGAACGTTTGTATGAAGCTTTGTCAGTTTTACACCGATCGGGTTGAAACTCGGCGTGCAGATGGATATTATGACGTAAACGTCCCTTTAGAAAGGTTTTTGAACATTCTCACCCCAAAGTATGATACTTTGCCAGTTTTAAATTGAGCGGGCTGAGAATTTGCATGCATAAATTTACTATGACATAGGTATCTCCTTAGAAAGGATTTTGATAAATTCCACCCCTAAGGGGATAAAATAGGGAATGAGAGTTTGTATAAATCTTCTTAGCCATTGAATTTAGAATCATTGTATCTTTTTGAATTACATTCGGTAAAACGATGATTTGGGGCCTGGGTAACGTTTGATAGTTTCTATCACAGATGTCCCACGAGAACGGGAACTATGCGTCAATGAACCGGGACTGTCTAACTCTTAACCACTGATCTTATTTTAGAGAGATTCGGTACAACAATAGTCGATAGAATAGTTTTTATTACTCAAACTTTACGTGATTGGGCACTGTACTGGTAAGATCCCTGCGGGATTATTTATTTATTGAAACTACGATAAATCATTTCAAAATAGGTAAATCTTACTTGGGCACTGAATTGATTCTGTCAGAAGTCATTAATCTACGCGGACGAAGTCGCGGGCAACAGCTAGTTTTTTATAAGATAAAAAAACGAGCGTACTGACCACCTGACGGTAAGCAATCGGCGCCGCCCATGGACACCTGCAACGCCAGGGACGTGGCAAGTACGTTACATGGCTTATGAGGATTAGGAGTTTGAGGATTGTTAACGATTGGGGAGGCAGGTGGTGGCCCTTCTCTATGTCATGCTTTAAGTAAGAGGTGCACCATATAACACCCACTTCATTTTCACCAAATTGCATGCCTGGCAACGCACTTGTACACAGAACCTCCTCTAGTATTGCGGATGTCCATGACTGACACCATGCTCACCATCAGGTGATTCATCTGCGCGATTCCCGCCCGATGCCATAAAAAACTTAATCCGGTGGTTCGCTCACCCTTGATATCCAATTTTTCACATCAGGCATCTGTTCCTTTAGCCGCGGACTGTCCATCAAAGATCGCATCACTTCAGATTGAACATCACTAAACATTTTCCGATTTTTATGCTGATCAAATGTGACTGGTGCACTATATTTCACTGCAGTTTTATATAACGTTCTGAACTGATTATAGCACAATGTTTTACGAAGAAATACAGTTGCCATCTTGACTTAACTGAATCAAAAACTGTTATATTACAAAAATCCTACAGGGCAGATATTTATGCTCGAGCGCAGGTTTGAGACTGTCATTTTAAACAACCTAAACACACATAATATTTCAAGTGTTTTGGTAACTAACGTAGCTATAAATACAGGGTGCGTTTTTTAATAACCGCAAACTACAATTTCAAATCAAAATCAAAACTGAATCATTATAATAACGATTCATCTCCACCTATTCCATGTTCGATGAAAATGTAAGAAATGTCGTGTTCAATCACCCTAAATAAAATTTTTATTATTAGATACAAATCACCCTGTATACTTAGATACTTATTTAATGGTTATGTATTATATCAATAAGCCTTTTATGCCCTAAAGGGATAGGCAGAGCCGCAGAGGTGGTGAACTTTCTGCAGTTTTGATTCATGAAGCCTATTAATAATCTTTAAGTGAGTATCTAAGTAGTAAGTCTAATGGCCAGTAGATCAACCTACTCCAATATGTCAAATTTATTCATTGGATTTTCGACTTTCTGTCAATACAATAAAGTTGAAGATTTAATTGAGAAATTTGACAGAAAAGGATAGGTTGATTGACCTGCTGTCTGCTGGCCACCAAACAGTATTAGGTAGGTATAATGAGTAAGGTATCTAATAAAACAGGTGAACAAATAAAAAGGTTCTTGTGTCATTGTCATACATTGCGCACAAAAAAAATTTTGTAAGTAAGTAGGTACTTACTAGGCCTATTATGTATAAATTCGCAATTTAAAATTTGAATAGTGCTGTGCTCCGTCCAAGAATCGGTAAGTAGACGTAGGTAGATGCTAGGCCACCAGACGCGTTAATTTCCATCACTAAGTTAAAATAGTATTAGGCACCTATTAAACTGGAAATCATTATGCAGAGGTAAAACATTCATTATTATTAATGGTATGTACACAAAATAAAAATTAAGAAAAAAATTGTATTTTTCTTCTTTCTATTTTTTGTAGACAAAACCAAAGGCGCGTCATGGCCAGACGGAGCTACCACACTGCGCCTATAGAAAAAAAATAAACAAATTAAAAAATACTTTCGACGATACATTGATATGAAATATCGCGTGACGTCACTTTTAGGAACGTTTTTTTAAACATAGATACTTACAACACTCTTAAACTTTGATTCGTTTTACCTAAGTATTGTAACCATATAAAAAAATACGAGCCTAATATTTTTTCATTATCTAACTGACGGACTAATCGGATTTTTAATTTTCATACCTCGTCGTCATCCCTATTTTGTGTTAGCTGAAATTACGAACCGCTCTGCTGTTCTAGACTGGTACTTCACTAGATTCCCAAATTCAGCACAGACACTGAGATTAAAAAAAGAACATTGTTTGTCTGAGCCTCTATTAGGAACTCAGCTAACGCACTAATGATCACTTATTTAAATGACATACTCATAACATAAGCTACTAATTGTCTGAATAACGTTTTGCAAAAGAAAAATACAAAAAATATAATATTAATTAATAACTATATGCGCTTTTTGTACTCAGTAGACACAATAGATTAAAATAAAATATAATACAAAATTATGTTGCTATACAAGGTTACAGGTTAAGTCGACCTTCTTAAATCTTTTAAAAAATGGTAGTATCTATCATACCTGACCGATTTGACAGAAAATCCCACGTTCCACGTTTATTAACCATTCTCAAGATATCGGCCCTTGAATTCATTTTATAAAAATTCCAGATTTTTGTCGATTGCCCCATTTTGTGTTTTGTGACTGTAGCAGACGAAAGCCCCGGGGCCTCCACAAGCAGGAGGCCTCCACAATAGAGACTTCGGAAAAAAAATCTTTCAAATTTCAACTAGTAAACCTAGTAAACATCTTTTCTTTGTTATTTTTTTTTCGCTTTTACCTTTACCTACAGTCTAAAGTACTTTATACACACATGATTATTTGATTATATTAATTTTAAATATTAACAGAAACAGAAATCATTGATCTATATTTGTTCACTCCAATCAGGCAATCAGTGAAATATCAAAATTGCAAATGGCTCTGATAAGCACTTCCAATTTCCTACTCATCTTGTACCCCAATGGCTCAATGGCTCAGTGGGATGGTACTTGCCCGCAACCTCGGAGGTTGGCAATTCGATTCCGTGTCTCGACCATTAAAAAAACTAATTGCAGTTTGTGAACAATTGGTATTCTTCAATTCTTAAACTCGAAATCTGTCGAGCGTCCTCGAAATCTATCGAGCATCCTCGATCGTTTTCGAGCATCCTCGATTGTTTTCGAGCGTCCTCGATTGTTTTCGAGCGTCCTCGAAATCTATCGAGAGTCCTCGATCGTTTCCGAGCGTCATCGAAATCTATCGGGCGTCCTTGAAATCTATCGAGCGTCCTCGAAATCAATCGAGCGTCCTCGAAATCAATCGAGCGTCCTCGACATCTATCGGGCGTCCTCGAAATCTATCGAGCGTCCTCGAAATCTATCGAGCGTCCTCGAAATCAATCGAGCGGCCTCTATTGTTTTCGAGCGTCCTCGAAATCTATCGAGAGTTCTCGATCGTTTTCGAGCGTCCTCGATTGGTTTCGAGCGTCCTCGAAATCTATAGGGCGTCCTCGATCGTTTTCGAGCATCCTCGATTGTTTTCGAGCGTCCTCGAAATCTATCGAGAGCCCTCGATCGTTTTCGAGCGTCCTCGATTGTTTACGAGCGTCCTCGAAATCTATCGAGAGTCCTCGATCGTTTTCGAGCGTCCTCGATTGCTTTCGAGCGTCCTCGAAATCTATCGAGAGTCCTCGATGGTTTTCGAGCGTCCTCGAAATCTATCGGGCGTCCTCGAAATCTATCGAGCGTCCTCGAAATCAATCGAGCGTCCTCGAAATCAATCAAACGTCCTCGATTGTTTTCGAGCGTCCTCAAAATCTATCGAGAGTCCTCGATCGTTTTCGAGCGTCCTCGAAATCTATCGAGCGTCCTCGAAATCAATCGAGAGTTCTCGATCGTTTTCGAGCGTCCTCGATTGTTTTCGAGCGTCCTCGATTGTTTTCGAGCATCCTCGATTGTTTTCGAGCGTCCTCGATTGTTTTCGAGCGTCCTCTATCGTTTTCGAGCATCCTCGATTGTTTTCGAGCGTCCTCGAAATCAATCAAACGTCCTCGATTGTTTTCGAGCGTCCTCAAAATCTATCGAGAGTCCTCGATCGTTTTCGAGCGTCCTCGAAATCTATCGAGCGTCCTCGAAATCAATCGAGAGTTCTCGATCGTTGTCGAGCGTCCTCGATTGTTTTCGAGCGTCCTCGATTGTTTTCGAGCATCCTCGATTGTTTTCGAGCGTCCTCGATTGTTTTCGAGCGTCCTCTATCGTTTTCGAGCATCCTCGATTGTTTTCGAGCGTCCTCGAAATCTATCGAGAGTCCTCGATCGTTTTCGAGCGTCCTCGAAATCTATCGGGCTTCCTCGAAATCTATCGAGCGTCCTCGATCGTTTTCGAGCGTCCTCGAAATCAAGCGAGCGTCCTCGAAATCAAGCGAGCGTCCTCGATCTCAATCTGGAAAATAATTTGGACCCCTAAATCCGGCCCTGGGTGAAAGCAAAACTCTGGTTCTTTTCTTACAAATATAGGTAAGCCTCATTACACAGCTATAATTTATTTACATACGTTTTGGCTTGACCGAAGCTAGCTTTTTAATAGGTCGTTAACATGTAATAATGTTATGGTTTTTATGTATGTACTACGTATGGAAACAATTAAATGGACACCAGTCCATAGTAAAAAATTGTCACGAGTTAATTTATGAACTATGTTTCATCAGACATTGCCATTTGGTAAATGGCCAAAATCGCCTGTTCTCCTTTTCCGTCAGTCTGTCCATCAGTGAAGGTGCTCGTTACAAAATGTCAATTGGAACTGAGAAACTAATTACTCTTTCTTAAAAAAAAAACATGTTTTAATCTCATTGATAGGGTACCTTCGCCTGTTCGCGTCTACCCACCAGGTCGCGTTCATTTATTTATTATTTATTTATTTATTTATTTACACACATACAATACAGAGGACAATACATATATATAAACAGAGTACATAGGCCCCACATATTCCAACTGGAATTTCTTCCTGTGGGCCTGTGGACACATAGTGTGTTACACAAACAAGATAAAGATCAATTAAAAAAAATAATATTACCAAAGATACCAATAGAAATAACAATAATAAACAATAAAACAAACTAATATAAGTAATACAATTATAAAAAATAAATAAAAAATAACCAATAAACAAATATACCTAGGTACATATATATAAATTTAAACAAACAAATCTATATTTCAGGAGGAAAGATAATGTTCTCTCACTTGTCTCTTAAAGATAGAGATAGACTTGGCGTCCCGAATGTTCGGCGGGAGCGAGTTCCATAGTCTCACTGCATGAAGATGAGAAGGAGTAGGAGTAGAAGTCGGTATTATGTTCATGTTACGGAACGCTATTTAAAAATTGTCGATAATGAGAAAACTATCACCATATTAGTAGTAGTTACTACACATTTATTTGATCTACGTTTTCAGTATCTTATACATATTCATGTCGATCCGTTAAATGAAATCGAACAACGCTTTGGTGGGTAGACGCAAACAGACGCCATTTCGTCAGTAGATACAAGGTTTTATGAAAGTAAATTTTGACATATTCATCAGGATCAGGACAGTGTCGAAAAGCATATTTGCAAAGCCAGGGCAAGTGACTAGTGTTACATAAATATTTCAAAAAATCCATTTGTAAAATTCGTCATACCTACCCATATTACATATATACATTATTATTTCATCACTAGCTAATGCCCGCGGCTCCGCTCGCGTGGAATACGGACTTTGTGACTAATCTACGAAATGTCAACCTTATGCTTTTCTAGATATTTTACTCCAACCACAATGCAAGTCGAACTTCTACTACTATACTTGTTTTTTTGTTTTTAATTTTTTGTTTTGTTTTTTATTTTAGTAAGTTTTATAATTTGTATATTGCGCCAAGCGTGTCTTTCTATTATTCTCACATATACGTATAATGAAAAATATATAGAAATATCAAAGAGATTGTAAAACGTATTGTTTTTAAAAGAATAACGAATGGAATTTCTTTTTCGTTCTTCTCCATTCGAATCTATATTTTGGAATAAGCACCTAGGTTAACTGACGGACAGACTGACAGACTATTATTTATTTTGAATTTGTTGACGTTTCAAAAGTACTAAATTATGGTTTAATTGAAATAAATGCTTTGACTTTGACTACCTACAAACTTCGAGTCCTATTTCACTTACATATGTAAAATTTACATTCATTAAAGTTAGCCATTTGTAAAATTCGTCATACCCAAAAAACATTTGTTTCATTTTTATTTCGTCATAAATTATCTGCAGTGAATATCCAGTTGGGTACCATTCAAATTAATTGTAGGTAAGTACTGAGTTTCTCACATTTAAAGCCAGAACAGAAAGATGGAAAAAAGGAAAAAGTTTTTAATGCATTGAGATGTTTTCAATAAAACAGTCTACTGCTGAACATGAAGTTCTTTCATTTTACGTCTAAATGCATCAAACCCTGTCGCATTTGCTGAATTTGAGTTTATAAACACACAGCACAGGCTGCATAACGTTACGCAGAGAAGAGTGAAAGAGAGCCATACCCTGCAATGGGAATGGGACTAAGGTAAGTTCAAGTAGAAGAGAAATATAGGTAGTCCCTCCACAATACTGTATAGTGTATGCTGTACACTTTAAGTGTGCCCTCACCCTAAAAATTTATAGGTACTCAACTTTTTGCCTGCACGTTGTAATCATCTAAAATTGCATCAAATTCATAGGTAATTATTTATTTTATGACAGACGTGTGTACCTATGTTATAGGTATTCTAATTATAAATATTTAAAGATGTGAATTCATCTCCCAGTATTACTTGGATGTTACTTGAACAATCAAGTCCGCGAAATGGTGAAGTTACTCCTATATAATCGCTTGTTCTACAATCAACTACGACAGATACACTCATATATAAATAACATGAGCGTTTCTGCTCCTAGCGTGGAAAAGGAAAATAAAGCATTCCAAGATGTCCTCCCAGAATTTATTGACTCCGTGGTAACTACGAGTAAGGTAAAAGAACTGCCTGAAGTCGCAACATGGTTGAATCAGGTTGGTGAAATAAACTGTTGTATGATCCATTCATCCTTGTATTTTTTACGGTATAAGCCGGTAAACGACTAGATGGATTACCTGATGGTAAGCAATTAGCGTCGCCCATGGATACCCGAAACACCAGAGGCGTTACAAGTGCGTTACCGGCCTTTTGGGGATTATGAATTTGAAGATTGTTAGGGATTCACGGATTGGCCCTCCGGTAACGGACACGATGAAAAACAACGCAAGCGTATTATTTCACGTCTGTTTTCTGTAAGCCGTAGTATCACTCCAGTCGAGCCGGCCCATTCGTGCCGAAGCATGGCTCTCCCACACTTGTGTGTAGTATAGTAACAAGTGTGTGTATCAAAAATTGATACACACACTTGTTACTTGACTAAATACTATACTGAACAATTATTAAGCACAAGATTAATTTAAAAAAAGAAAAAATATCCTTTAATAACTTATTTCCGTCCATTATTTTGTACATCTTGCATGCTTTTTGTAGTTAAGTAGAAACAATAGAACAAAAAGCAGTCGTATTATTCTACGTTGCTGATTCCAGTTTATAAATAAACTCAAAACAAACATGCAGAGCAATGATAGTATCAATTCTGTGTACAACTCATGTGAGTCATAGAAACAATGATAAGAAGACCAGTTTAATTTGGGATCTGTGGAGGCTGGGGAGTATTTTGCGGGGAAAGACCACAAGGATTCTTACCTGTATAAAACCACCCCGTTATTACCCGTCAGCACCTATAGGTAAGGGGTACCGGGCCCTCAAAATGACCAACTAGTAGCTCCAGAGTTCCATGATTATAGGAATCTACCCAAAATTTTTTTTGTCGTAGAAAGGGCTGACGTGATAACTTGCGGTTTTAATTTATAGGTAGGTACTACTTAGACACGGAAACACCTAATTTGCAATTGTTGTTTGACTTCATCATAAGTTTTAGCTCTAGCGGGCACGACACAACAAGAAATCCAAAAATATATAAAGCGGTCAATAGCCCCATTTATATAATATAATAGGTACCTTTGAGTTCGTCAGATTTTGGTTTAATCAGAAAAAATCATAATACGTAACTTTAAGAGAAGTTCAAACAGTAATAATAATAATTTAAGTGAATGAGCATTATTAAGAACCATTTAAGATCCTAACTGCTTGTGCAGGTCGTTAAACAAATTGTATTGAATATTAAAGCCAGAACTGAATTTTGGAAATAGAAAAAAAAAACAAGTTATCCGAAAATTTATTTATCGTTATTAAAGAGATATCTTATTAAAGACTTTTTTAAGGGGGGAAAATCATCGAATCGCCTGGGTGAGGCGGGGGGGAGTGTCAGACTCTTACTGACTAAAAACCACCCCGTTCCTTCTCCTGCACGTCGAGCCGGAGCCCCGGTTACCCGTACGATCTTATTAAAGACTAGTTGGCTCGGCATACTTCGTACCGCCTAAAACATGTCTCACCTTTTAAACCTTCTCTGGACTTCCATGAACATTTTAAGACCGAAATTAGCCAAATATATTCAGCCGTTCTCGAGTTTTAGCGAGACTAATGAACGGAAATTCTATTTATTTGCATAGATTAGTGCTTCATCGTTGGATAGCTGCAAGTGCAAACGCTGGACATGACGTTCTGGGTGGAACTGAATTTTTTTTTTAATTTTTCTAGATACAATTGCCACAACATCATGTGCGAGTAGCAATGTATGATCTACAGATGTTTTTTTGTTGTGGGTGTAAGTATCTCAATTAATTACTGGAACTTGAGTTTCTAAACACACGCCCTCTACACACGAAACGAATAAATTATAATTAACCACAACACTACATACTCATTTTTCATAAGTGTAACCTACGCCCATAAAAGTTACATTACTTAACCTTTTGCATGTATTCAGGTATTTATGAAATTACATTAAATTCTTTACCCCACTACTATTTATATACGAATATGCTAATTGAATTCCCAGTATTGCTTGCACGGTACTCGAACAGTGAAATGGCCAAGTTATTTCAACGTAATCGCATGTTTTACAATCAGCTACGACAGTTACACTCAAATAACACGAGCGTTTCTACTCTTGGCATGGAAAAGGAAAAGAAAGCATTCCAAGATGTCCTCCCAGAATTTATTGAATCCGTGGTAACAACGACTAAGGTAAAAGAACTGCCTGAAGTTGCAACATGGTTGAAACAGGTTGGTGAATTAAATTGTTGTAATTAGTTACAATCTATGCATAATTCGTTGTATGTATAAGTGTTGGTTGGTAGGAACCGACTTACATTAATCCCAGACCATTCATATAACTGTCAGGAACCTTTAAAATGTGACTACATGAAATCCTTTAACATTTAAAGTCCTCAAAATTTCTTTCTTACAGGTCCTAAATTACGTGTTACCAGGCGGTAAATTGAGCAGAGGGTTCATTACATCTCTGGGATACAAAATGTTTGAGGAACCTGAATATTTCTCAGAAAGAACACAGCACGATGCTCACATTCTGGGCTGGTGCATACAAATGGTGATCATCTTTTCTTTATTCTTCTATAGACAGTAATAAAACTTACGGACCGTCTAATGATAAACGAACACCGTACCTTAAGCAACACCCCGAGCGTACGGCGCGTCGCGTTCCGCGCGCGCCTCAAAGAGCCATCAGACCACCACAGATGGAGCCCAACAGGGTCGATGCCCAGGGCCGGATTTAGGGGGGGGGGCAACCGGGGCGAAAGCCCCGGGGCCTCCACAAGCAGGGGGCCTCCAGAATAGAGACTTCGGAAAAAAAAATCTTTCAAATTTCAACTAGTAAACCTAGTAAACATCTTTTCTTTGATATTTTTTTTCGCTTTTACCTTTATCTACAGCCTAAAGTACTTTATACATACATGATTATTTGATTATATTAATTTTAAATATTAACAGAAACAGAAATCATTGATCTATATTTGTTCACTCCAATCAAGCAATCAGTGAAATATCAAAATCTCAAATGGCTCTGATAAGCACTTCCAATTTACTACCCATCTTGTACCCCAATGGCTCAATGGCTCAGTGGGATGGTACTTGCCCGCAACCTCGGAGGTTGGCTATTCGATTCCGTGTCTCGACCATTAAAAAAACTAATTGCAGTATGTGAACAATTGGTATTCTTCAATTCTTAAACTCGAAATCTGTCGAGCGTCCTCGAAATCTATCGAGCATCCTCGATCGTTTTCAAACGTCCTCGATTGTTTTCGAGCGTCCTCGATTGTTTTCGAGCGTCCTCGAAATCTATCGAGAGTCCTCGATCGTTTTCGAGCGTCCTCGAAATCTATCGGGCGTCCTCGAAATTTATCGAGCGTCCTCGAAATCAATCGAGCGTCCTCGAAATCAATCGAGCATCCTCGATTGTTTTCGAGCGTCATCGCAATCTATCGAGAGTCCTCGATCGTTTTCGAGCGTCCTCGAAATCTATCGAGCGTCCTCGAAATCTATCGAGAGTTCTCGATCGTTTTCGAGCGTCCTCGATTGTTTTCGAGCGTCCTCGAAATCTATAGGGCGTCCTCGATCGTTTTCGAGCGTCCTCGATTGTTTTCGAGCGTCCTCGAAATCTATCGAGAGTCCTCGATCGTTTTCGAGCGTCCTCGAAATCTATCGGGCGTCCTCGAAAACAATCGAGCGTCCTCGAAATCAATCGAGCGTCCTCGATTGTTTTCGAGCGTCCTCGAAATCTATCGAGAGTCCTCGATCGTTTTCGAGCGTCCTCGAAATCTATCGAGCGTCCTCGAAATCTATCGAGCGTCCTCGAAATCAATCGAGCGTTCTCGATTGTTTTCGAGCGTCCTCGAAATCTATCGAGAGTTCTCGATCGTTTTCGAGCGTCCTCGATTGTTTTCGAGCGTCCTCGAAATCTATAGGGCGTCCTCGATCGTTTTCGAGCATCCTCGATTGTTTTCGAGCGTCCTCGAAATCTATCAAGAGTCCTCGATCGTTTTCGAGCGTCCTCGAAATCTATCGGGCGTCCTCGAAATTTATCGAGCGTCCTCGAAATCAATCGAGCGTCCTCGAAATCTATCGAGAGTCCTCGATCGTTTTCGAGCGTCCTCGAAATCTATCGAGCGTCCTCGAAATCTATCGAGAGTTCTCGATCGTTTTCGAGCGTCCTCGATTGTTTTCGAGCGTCCTCGAAATCTATAGGGCGTCCTCGATCGTTTTCGAGCGTCCTCGATTGTTTTCGAGCGTCCTCGAAATCTTTCGGGCGTCCTCGAAATCTATCGAGCGTCCTCGAAATCAATCGAGCGTCCTCGATTGTTTTCGAGCGTCCTCGAAATCTATCGAGAGTCCTCGATCGTTTTCGAGCGTCCTCGAAATCTATCGGGCGTCCTCGAAATCTATCGAGCGTCCTCGAAATCTATCGAGCGTCCTCGAAATCAATCGAGCGTTCTCGATCGTTTCGAGCGTCCTCGAAATCTATCGAGAGTCCTCGATCGTTTTCGAGCGTCCTCGAAATCTATCGAGCGTCCTCGAAATCTATCGAGAGTTCTCGATCGTTTTCGAGCGTCCTCGATTGTTTTCGAGCGTCCTCGAAATCTATAGGGCGTCCTCGATCGTTTTCGAGCGTCCTCGAAATCTATCGGGCGTCCTCGAAATCTATCGAGCGTCCTCGAAATCTATCGAGCGTCCTCGAAATCAATCGAGCGTCCTCGATTGTTTTCGAGCGTCCTCGAAATCTATCGAGAGTTCTCGATCGTTTTCGAGCGTCCTCGATTGTTTTCGAGCGTCCTCGAAATCTATAGGGCGTCCTCGATCGTTTTCGAGCATCCTCGATCGTTTTCCAGCGTCCTCGAAATCTATCGGGCGTCCTCGAAATCTATCGAGCGTCCTCGAAATCAATCGAGCGTCCTCGATCGTTTTCGAGCGTCCTCGAAATCAAGCGAGCGTCCTCGATCTCAATCTGGAAAATAATTTGGGGCAAGGGGGCCTCCACTCCTTTGTTGCCCCGAGGCCTCTGGACCCCTAAATCCGGCCCTGCCCATGCTGATTCGGAGTCGCGGAGAACCTAACGGGTAACCGGGGCTCCGGCTCGACGTGCAGGAGAAGGAACGGGGTGGTTTTTAGTCAGTAAGAGTCTGACACTCCCTCCCGCCTCACCCAGGCGGGAGCAATCATTTGATGATTTTCCCCCCTTTAAAAAAAAGCTAAGCAACACGAGAGGTATTACGAGTGACTTACTTCAAAGTTAAATCTAATTTCTATAAATAAATGTTTCACAGATGCACGCAACATTTATTGTATTAGATGACATCGCTGATGGAGGAACAATGCGGCATAATAAGACATGTTGGCACTTGCAAAGAAACATTAGTTTGTACGCTGTCAACGACGCGCTGATAATGCAGCAAGCTATGATGGACATGTTGAATACTCACTTCGGGAAGTCGCCCATCTATACTGACTTGATCAATTATTTTAATGAGGTAATGTCTAACCCAAATATTGTATTCAATTACTCTATCTATAGTTAATGCAGAATAGGCTGGTCTTTTAACGTTACCGATTTTTTAAAGTTAATATAACATCACGCCTTTTTACCCCGAATGGGATAGGCAGAGGTGCACATTGCGACACTTAATGCTACTGTACAATGTAACACCCACTTTATATTATGAGTCCCATGTGGGTGAACCCGGTAATAGTAATACCGGGCACAATTCCAGACTCCGTGCTACTACTGAGATTTTTTTTAAATCCATTAAAACTTTGTCCGACCCGGGAATGGACTCCAGACCCCTTGCCCGGTAGTCGCACTCAGCCGACGAGGGAGTCAAAATGTTTTTGAAAGTCTATTCCTAAAATGTTGATATTTTATAGGCAATGTACCGAACCATAATGGGCGAGCACTTGGATTTATGTTCAAACTACAACAAGGACACGGACAATGTAGAAGTATTCAACATGAGCCGGCTCCATGACACTGCCGTCAACAAGACAGGCTGCTATTCCTTCAAGCTGCCAATATTTACTGCACTGCTTCTAGTGAAGAATGGACAACAATTAGCTACCGCAGAATTACATGATTTATGTTATGGAATTGGGAGATTAATGCAAGTTCAGGTGAGTTACCATGGGCGAAGCTAAGGTGGGATAGAGTGGGCAATAGGGTAGATGCCTAATTTTTATTTTAATGTCCGTCTGGTAGATTATTTTAAATCATTAGACACGTATTTTTTTACAGAAACGAATACTTTCGACGAAAATCGACGATATATTGATTTGAAATGTCGCGTGACGTCACTTCTATATCTATACTAATATATCTATACGTAGAAATGAAGTTTTAGCCCCCACTCCTAAAATTTGATCAGTTTTATCTAAGTATTGTTTTATTTTACAACAAAATAAAAAAATACATGTCTAATATTTTTTCATTACTTTACTTACAGACTAATTATATTTTTAATTTTCATACCCTGTCATCATCCCAATTGCCCTGACTCTGACCTCTAACTTTTATAAGACATACAAAAGATTGATGATATATGCTTTAATTGTTGATTAATAGAAATAGAAATAATAATATAGAAGCAATTTAATTTACAGGACGATTATCTTGACGTATACGGCACCGAGACGGTCACAGGCAAAACTTCAAGAGATATCCAAGAAGGAAAAGCTACCTGGCTGTCAGCGACAGCGTTGCAGCGCTGCAACTCAGCTCAACTTTCGATCTTCAAAGAATACTACGGTAGCAATGACTTGGAACATGTGCAGCGCATCAAGCAGCTTTACGATGAACTGAATTTGCCTGATGTGTATGAACAATATGAACTCAAAATGTATGACGATCTGTTGCATCAAATTAACGAAATGCCCCATGAAGGGGGGAAGATTTTACTCACAGAGATATTAAATTCATGCTTTAAACGTGTTAAGTGATTAAAGTTCTATAAAATGTCTTAAATCCTTTTTCACTCTAACATAGTGCACCTACTAATCATACCAGTTCTATCTTTTATAACAATTCGTTCTATTCCATAATGAATGATATGTTTTTGTTAGTGTAACTGCTGGATAAATTAATGTTACAGTTAAGTTAACCGAGACGCGATCGAAAGGCTGGCAAAGGCAATGCTGCTAGTCTTTTGGGCACCCTACCTCAGGATAGTAATGAGGAAAATTTTTTTGATGCCTTAAGCTTTTTTTATGGCATAAGCCGGTAAACGAGCAGACGGATCACCCGATGGTAAGCAATCGTCGTCGCCCACTTGGAACACTAAGGCGTTACGAGTGCGTTGCCGGCCTTTTGGGGATTAGGAGTTTGAGGATCGTTGGGGATTCAGGAATTGGGATTGGGGAAGGGGAGGGTAATTGGGCATCCGGTAACCTCACTAACACGACGAAACACAACGCAAGCGTTGCTTCACGTCGGTTTTCTGTGAGGCCGTGGTATCACTCCGGTCGAGCCGGCCCATTTGTGACGAAGCATGGCTCTCCCACACTTAGGTATATTGCATATTTTTTTTTTTTTTATGGTGTAAATATTTTTGTTATTTATTATTTGTAGGTATTTATAATATTAATTTTACTTAGTTCCTATCCCCATTAGTAAATACTTATTAAATAGAATAAGCAAAGTAAAAAAGTCGAGCCGGCCCATTCGTGCCGATGCATGCCTCTCCCACAAATCTGCTAGCACTACGCTTGCTAGTTTCATATTGATTCCATTTTTACGTGCTTTCACGCTACTATTTTATACAGCTAGGCTATTCTGTAAGAAATCAATTCAAATTCTCGATGTGAACTCGATCGCATTCTTGCCCGTCATTGGTCGAGATTATTCTCAGAACCAATGATATGACGGAGCGCGATCGAGCTCAATCTCGTACACAAAACTGCGATGCGACGACGTCGCAATCTACGCATCGCAAGTACTTGCGAATTGATTCGCATCGCGCATCAAAATCTTATCTTGCCAAAATTTTCTTTGTTTCTTTTTCCTGTATCTCCTAAGCAATAACAAAAGTGCACATTTCTTTTTACGATCCATGTCGTGACCTAGTTTTCAATTTAAAACACCTTTAGTGCGGTTGACAGTCGTCGTAGGAACGGTCACCCTGGGAGGCGGCTTGTCGCACGAAATCGCATCGCAACAATTCGTGTCGTAATTTTCTGCGTTGCGAATTGACATCGCATCGCATTGCAGTTTTGTGTACGAACCTTCACTTCGAGAGTTAGAATTGACAATTGACATCTTACAAAATAGCCTTGCTATATCTAAGTTTTTTATGGCATAAGCCTATAATAATATAAAAAAAATATATAATTAAAATAATTAACAAGCAATTCCTATTTTAATGTGTATTATTATGATCTTCAGATGCCCTACATCTAAGTTAATACCTTTCCGAGTTTCCAGAGATTTAAAAGCTTACAGGCACTCTTGATCTGCATTCATATCACAAGAAATAAAGAATATAGATAATATGTCAAGTATGATGTCAAAAGTTCAAAAACCATGTAAACAGCTACATTTATGCATTTTTATTACTTACCAATAAAGAAATTCAAGTCATGATAATTTGCTAACGAGTTAAATATTTTCGTTGACTTTTTGTTTTATGGGGTTCCGTACCGAAACGATACAAATAAAACCATAATAACTAAGGCATAGCTGTCTGTCCGCCTGTCCATCCGTCCATCCGCCTGTCATCACTCCACCAGGCTGTATCTCAAGTGGGCATTTCTGTTGTCGCTAACAACAAATACAAAAAAAAAACAAAATAAACTAAACGTAGGGTCTTCCATTTTTCATACTTACTTACAATAAACGATGTTTTTTATTTTATTTCAATAAATAGTAACTGGTAGGCATTTGAATTAATCACATAAATAATTAATTTAATAACTATTTACTTTAATAATAAAAAAAAAATTGGATATTTAGAGGTGGCTTCAGTAATATTTACCTTGTCAATGGTACGAATCCCTTCGTGCGCAAGTCCGACTTGCATTTGGCTGCAATTTAATTCGTGCATTCATTATTAAAAAAGATCTTAAGATATCTCCCATACTTATCGTAAAAGTAATTTAAATTCTGATGACTTTTGACATCAATAAACTAAATGAGCAACCGGTTACTCCTTTTGTCCTTTATATAGTTGTGGATCTTACTTAGAGCCTTCTGTATTCAAGTAGTGTTGTAACACAGACGCAATAGTGTACACAGGAACCCTAACATTTCATCATTGCCTTATTGGTATAAAAAAATTGATTTATTGTTTCGTATTTTCCAATCTTATAGCACATATATCATAACCTAGCATACAAGAACAATATAAATAACCTTATTTTTCCTGTATATAATTCAAAGAGTAGGTAACGTACATCGACTTTGAATAAATTTCCAGCAGAAGTACCTATTTGGTTAAAAATCGGTTCTTCGACTCAGACCAATAATGGCAAAGTTAGTCCGGTACAATCGCTTATGCTACAATCAACTGCGACCATTACATTCGAATAATTTGAGTGTTCCAATTATAAATTTAGAAACGGAAAAGAAGGCGTTCCAAGATATCCTACCAGAATTTATTGACAATGTTATAACTCGGCCGAAGATAAAACAGCTGCCTCAAGTCGCGACATGGATGAAACAGGTTGGTGACTAACGTTATTTTGATACTATTAAGCTGTTTCACAATGTATCATTGAATTCCTGTTAAATTATAATATATAATATACTAACGACCCGCCCCGGCTTCGCACAGGTGCAATATGCATATATTATACATATAAACCTTTCTTAAGAATCACTCTATCTATTAAACAACCACATCAAAATCCGTTGCGTAGTTATAAAGATCTAAGCATACATAGGGACAGACAGACGTCGGATAGCGACTTTGTTTTATACTATGTAATGATGACACAATTATTATGAATAATACGTCTAATTATCCATTAATTAGATTATTCATTAGAGTAAAAGTAATTTAATCAGACATTGTGACAGACTTTTCGCATACCTCGATTCCGGGTATCCGTCGCATGCATAGCGCACCCATATTTTATACTATTTCCATTACGTATGAAGATATATTGAAATATATTGAAGGATTGACCATTTAAGGGACCAGAAAGCTATAGAGAAACAAGTGGAAGGAGGGTAGAGAGGCTTTTGTCCTGCAGTAGGACGACCATGGCTAAAAATTTGTGGACTATGGGAACTCCCTGATTTAGCCTATGTAGTTTATAATCTTATTGTTGTTTACAGCTCTTAGAATACACATTAACTGGAGGAAAGCTGGGCAGAGGATTGATGGCGTCCACAGGGTACAAAATGTTTGAAGATCCTGACCAGTTCTCGGAAAAAACACAACACTCTGCTCGGCTCCTAGGCTGGTGTGTAGAAATGGTAACGAATTGATTTCTAAATAAACATGGTTAATGCCTTATATTATTATTCCATAGCATTCATGTACCGATTGACAGTGAAAAGTAACATTTTAATGAACCTAATATTGCCTTATATAACTATCGTGGGACATACTAAATGAATTGAAAATCCAAACTAAGTAGAGCTTGTCTCAATTAATTATTAGTATTGTATTTTTCGGCTTACTCGCGTAATTATTTGACGAGCAAGTCGACTAGTTTCAAGGCATGCTAGAGGCTCATATTTATGAGCAGCATTCCGCGACACGCGACAAAATGCAGCTCAAGCTCATGAAAATGGAAGTTATAATATAAATACAGTTAGGATCAATACTCAAGCAATCAAGACAATAGCTTGCTATCATTCCCCGTACTATATACTAGACACCTTGTACAGCATAAACTTTTAATCTCTATTTATTTGACAGTTGCACACATCACTAATAGTATTTGATGATGTCTTGGATGGCGGGACAGTGCGACATGGCAAGCCAAGTTGGCACCTGCGACGTAGTGTCGGCAATCACGCTTTTACCGACTCGATGTTGATACACCATGCCATGATGGACATAATAGAAATGTACTTCGGGAAAACGCCCTTCTATAATACTATGTCTAGTTATTTTCATGAGGTAAGTACGATTACTTGCCTAAACATTCATTAAGGTTTGCAGTACGCAACGTTTTTTAATAGCAACTATTAACTAACCTATGTAGGTACATTTGTAGAGGTATAATGTGTGCTCTTATGCTTTGCACTTACATCTAAATCTACGTCTAAAAGTACGTCCAGGCCTGGAAAATGCCTTACTAGTGCACCGCTAATGAATTGAGAACACACTATTAAACGTAAGGGCAAAGCTTAAAGAGCCATGCATGTAGGTAAGGATAGAAATTTTTATACCTCTATTATTTGAACTTACTAACAAATTTTGCTCTGTTTCCAGGCATCGTACCGAACCACTATTGCCGAGCACATGGACCTGTGTTCAAGCTACAATAAGGACACGGACAATATAGACATATTCACCATGAACCACCTCCATGACATAGCCGTTTACAAATCAGCCTACTATTCCTTCAAGTTGCCAATATTTGCTGCACTGCTTCTAGTGAAGAATGGACAGAACCTAGCTACTACAGAATTACACGAGTTTTGTATGGAATTAGGAATATTGATGCAAGCCCAGGTGAGAGGAAATCGTTACTGAAATTACTAAAAAAGAAATAAGATTTCCGTCTTCTACTGGACATATGCGTTTCCAAAGAAATTAAAGTCTATACAAGATGCCGCGGCCTCGACTCGGAACAGGCGTGGAAACGGGGTATTTTAGTAAGAGTCTGACATTACCAGGGCCAGAGGAGTCATTTAAAGATCCCTCCTGTATCAAAACACTGAAACACACCTCTCCGATAGAGCTAACTTTCAGCTCCTGAAAGTCTCATTTAATCTTTTAACAAATCTATTTTTTATGTTTATAGGATGATTACTTAGACGCTTTTTGCAACGAGACGGTCACGGGCAAAAATGGCAGAGATATCCAGGAAGGAAAATGCACTTGGTTCTCAGTTACAATGCTGCAGCGCTGCAACTCCGCTCAACTTGCGATTTTCAAAGAATACTACGGCAGCAATGACTTAGAAGATGTGAAGCGGATCAAGCAGCTTTATGATGAACTGAACCTGCGTGATGTGTATGAACAATATGAACACAAAATGTATGAAGATCTATTGCGTCGAATAAACGAGATGCCCCATGCAGGGGGGAGAACTCTACTCACGGGAATATTAAATTCATGTTATAAAAGAGTTAAATAATTAAAATGACGTATGCTGATAATCGTACTTTTATTTTATTACTAGTGCAATGACTGCTTGCTTGCTTTGTAGGTATGTATTTTTTACAAGAAAAAACGTTGATTTTTTTCAAAGCAATTATTTCAATCATAGCATTTATTTTAACCAATAACCTATCCTATCCTAACAGTCAGCGCGGGCCAGCGGACGACGAGCATGGGTGGCTCCCCGCCCGACCAGAACCAGACCCGAGCGTACGGCGCGTCGCGTTCCGCGCGCGCTTCTAAGAGCCATCAGACCACCACGGATGGAACCCAATAGGGCTGACGGCTGACGCCGATACGGAGCCGCAGAGAACCTAACGGGTTACCGGGGCTCCGGCTCGAAGTGGAAGAGTAGGAACAGAGTGTTTTTTAGTCTGTAAGAGTCTGACACTCCCCTCCCGCCTCACCCAGGCGGGAGCAGTAATTCGATGATTTTCGACCCTTAAAAAAATCCTATAAAGTCAATTATTTTGAAAGTTTTGTACAATACCAATTGGCAAGATAGTGGTACCTACCTACCCAGATACACCTACGCTACAACTGAAAATTGAAATATCCACTTATAGTGGCAAGTAAAAAGTGAATAAAAAGATTATATATGTATACATAATATGTATGTAGGAACATAACAATTCTTCAGCTTTGAAACTGGTAGCACCATCTATGATTACATATGTGTAGTTTTCCTCATTTATCGACAGGCTATGACTATGGTGCAGCTTTCGATGTTAAAATCAGAACTAACTTATAGTACAGTAGTACTTACTGACTAACCAAAAGATGGAGTTCGTTTCGTTTTTTTATTTTATTAAACGTAGCCACGTTACTAAACTACATTTTCTTCCTTGTTGTGCGTGGCATAGGCACTGCCTATTCTATTAGGGAGGCAATATTTTCAAATTGGGCACTTTTAGACAGAAAGTGCCGAACATAGGATAATTCCTTAAGTCTCAGAGGTATCAGGTCTTTAGTTTCAAGAACTTTAATATTGGTTTTAAAGTGTTTCAGTGCCACCATTGTTATCTAGAACATTCTATCATTTAATTATTTTATGTTTATTTATTTAAACCTGTAAATGGTTTATCTACTTTATTATAGTATGTACTTTATTTTGTATCCTATAATGGGGCTCACGGTTTTCTATTAGGAAAAAGCCCTACTTATAATAAAGGTTCAAAAACAAAGAACTGGGTGATTCCTAGTTCGGGTAAAGCAATATAAACTATTTCATTTTATTTTTAATTCTCAGTCAGTTCAGTGGACCTACCTATAGGTACCAACCGTAAACAGCATGGGTTCTTCACGGCTTTAGTTACATTTATTCTACAAATATTAATAACTAGCTTCTGCCCGCGACATCGTACGCGTAATCCCATTTTTTCCCGTCACCGTTCGTAATTTTCGGTAAAAAGTAAAAAAAAATGTTGGTTAAAAAGTATCCTATGTCGGTCTCCTGGCTCTAAGCTACCTTCCTATCAATTTTCAGCCAAATCTATTCTGCCGTTCTTGAGTTATAAGTGGTGTAACTAACACGACTTTCTTTTATATATATATATAGATGAGTTTGTATGTTTGTTACTTCTTGACATCAAAACGTCTGAAGGGATTGGGATGAAATTTGGAACAGGGAATAGGGTTATGCTCAGTACAGAACCGTTTATGGTCTGGAATAACACATAGGTACGCTACTTTTTATCCCACCAGTGGCAGAAGCTAGTTTATTACATTTTTAGAATATGCTTGCTTCTTGTGTCAACCGTTGTTTTATCTCAAAGTCAAAATCATTTATTTCAGTTAGACCAGAAAGGCACTTTTATACGTCAACAAAAAGCAGAACGTCTCTGCATCACCCAAAGGTTTGGCTGTAAGAGAATGCCTATGGCATTAAACCTGTTTTATGCATGAAGCCTGTAAATAAATGAATAAAAAAATATAAGAGCATTAATATCATACTAAGTGGATAGACCATAGGTATTCCTTACTATTCCTTACTAATATTATAAATCTGAAAGTGAGTTTGTTTGTTTGTTCTACCTTCGCGCCGTAACTACTAAACCGATTGCTTTGAATTTTTGCAGACGTAAAGTTAGAAGTCCGGATTAAATAATAGGGTACTTTTGATCCCGGAAAAATTTGATATTCCCTAGGGAAAACAAAAGTATTGGTATAGATGGCGCTGTGTGTATTGGTATAGGCTACTTTTATCCTTTTGTGACGCGAGCGAAGCCGCGGGTAAAAGCTAGTATAGAATATTATATGAAAAATAATATACATATTATATGAAAAAAACTAGGGTCTAGTCTATGAAAAAACCTTCTTATGAAAATCTCATGAGACTTTTATGAGTGGGTGCAATTTATTAATATTATTAAATAAAAATAGGATTAAAACAGAATTTTGTATTCATGTGTAAAATTATTTTTTAACTCATCTACAAACAATTTTGTCTATGATGAAGTGTTTAAATAATTGTACTTAGTAGGTCCCCATTTTATTAATAAGGTTAGATCTATTTGTTATACTTATAGGTAAGCAACATACATGATGATGCCCAGTAGGAGTGTTGCCCGATACAGAGCCGCGGAAGGCCTAACGGGTTGCCGAAGGTCCGGCTCGAAGAGCAGAAGTAGGAACGGGGTGGTTTTTAGTCAGTAAGAATCTGACACTCCCTCTCGCCTAACCCAAGGCAGGAGAAGTCATTGGATGATTTTCCTCCCTCAAAAAAAAGTGTTTCTTGTCATGCAAGTGTACGGAACGAGTGGAAACCGAATTCTTAATAATCTCATAAAAAGAGCAGGTTTCTGTCTCTGGAGTAGCTTGGACCATGCTGCCGGTACTGGTCAGCTCCTATTCTTTATAATTTTAGCCATAGCTACCTAACTTATGATATGACCGCCCCATCTATTTACTACTGTGAAAAGCTCAACATGGCCATTTCGGGTGTCGCCTAATAATAGGTAATGTCATACCAACAATACTCCATACAATTTCAAGGTGAATTTATAATTTTACTTTATTAAAATACACGGGTCAAAGCTAAACTACGTGAGGAATTAATCATGACTATGTAAATAAATATATTGGAAATAAATATCTACGTATCAGTTATAGGAAATGGCAGTGTGCAGTCTGCTGTCGGACACATATTATAGTACATTCGTTTACAAGGAATTTCTTCAGTCAAAATGGCGAATTTATTTCTCCGAAAAACATTGTCCTGTAATCAGTTTAGGACGTTGCATAAGACTACAGTTAACTACAATGTGCCGGTGCCCATCACTTTCAATAGTTACAAGAACCAGCAAAAATTCCGTGAGGTCCAGTCTGAAGTACTGAACACCTTGATGTCTAGCCCCAGATTCGAACACCAGCTGATTGATGTTGAACAATGGATGACAAAGGTTGGTGATAAATTTCCTGATTGCACCAGCAAAAACTAAATTAAAATCTAATTCAAGAAATTGGCTTTTGTGTTTTGCAGTTGCTAGATTATACACTAGAAGGAGGAAAAAGAGGTAGAGGTTTAGCAGTACCATTTGCATATGAAATGATGGAAGATCCAAAAGACTTCACTAAGGAAAACCTCCACAGAGCTCGAGTTTTGGGGTGGGCCGTGGAGATAGTGAGTAATAAATGTAATTATGATGTGGATTAAATAGAGAAAGGTACAAAAAATATGTCTCATTTGTTCTGTTCCAGATACAAGCATATCTGCTAACTGTAGATGATATTGTGGACGCGTCACAAACTCGCAGAGGCAAGGAGTGTTGGTACCTGCACAGCGATGTTGGACTCGGGGCAGTCAATGACTGTGGACTCCTACTGACCTGTGCCGTAGAAGTAATGGACCTCTACTTCGGAAAGGAACCCATTTTTGCCGATTTAATAAAAATTACTAATGGGGTAAGTATATTTAGGCATCTTCTACTTTCTGATCGCTTTTTTCTATTAAGATGTCCCTCCAACCCCAATTTCAAACTTAAACACTCTTTTAAATCTAGGTACTGTTAGATTCTGATAGTGGAATGGCAGCAACGACTGTCGCAACCGAGGGCTGGGCTTGCTGTCATTGCAGCGGTAAGTCCCTCTTTGAGGACTGGCTACGGCGTCCTCACCTACCGCCTGACGCAGGTGCTTACCGGAAGTTTCGGTAGGTTCCTATTTCAGATTGGGTGAGAGGAAATGTACCCGAGTATCATCACTGCAAGTAGCGCCCGGAGGATACGGTGGAGCGTACGGTGTGCCCTGCGTGGGCTAAGCACCGCCGTGTCCTCAGGGATGTGATCGGCGACGGCGACCTCTCACGTCCGGCTCTGGTTCAGACCATGGTACGGAGCGAGGGGGACTGGGATGCCGTCTCCTCCTTCTGCGAAACAGTCATGCTAACTAAAGAGGAGGCGGAGCGCGTGAGGGAATTAACCTCCTTACGCCCCAGCCGTCGCGAGAGACACTTCGGGCGTCAGGGATTGCGAGACGATATCCGGCCACCATAAACACGGGCCTGTGGACAGTGAGCACGGGTGACTCGCCGCCCGATCAGAACCAGACCCATGCGTACGGCGCGTCGCGTACCGCACGCAACGCATGGCATTCAAAGAGACATCAGACCACCACAGATGGGGCCCAATAGTGCCGATGCCGATACGGAGCCGCGAAGGGCTTAACGGGTTGCCGGGGCTCCGGCTCGAAGTGTAGAAGTAGGAACGGGGTAGTTTTTAGTCAATAAGAGTCTGACACTCCCTCTCACCTCACCCGGGCGGGACAAGTAATTGGATGAATTTCCCTCCTCAAAAAAAAGGTACTCTTAGATATTTCAATTTATATTACAACAGTTAATTGGAGCGACTTTAACAGAAGATTATCCCAACCAGAAAAAAACAGTGTCAACGCGCTTCTTGAAAACCAGACGGAAAATAAACGTATATTTAATGTTTTCAGACTCTGTTGCAGACATCAGTAGGACAGTATTTAGACTGCTCATCTGGCTACACCAAGGAGAAGAATAACCTTGACAAGTTCACAATGGAGCTCTTCGATTCTATAGCATACCAGAAGACTGGCATCTACTCTTTCAAATTCCCTATGCTCCTAGCTCTTACACTAGTAAAAGACGGGAAGAGCAGGTACTCAGAAGAAGCAAATAAGATAGCTTGGGACCTGGGCAGACTTCTACAATTTCAGGTAAAAAAAATTATATACTATTTAATAATAATTGGTAATTTACTTGTAGGATGTAAAATTTTTTATCTTGCAGACTGTAAATACTCTCATTTACATAAGCTTCTAATTAATTTGGAAGGTGACTTACTAGGTATGTGACGTACTTATCATATCTCTTCTATGAAGAATAAGCGCAACTGGCTGGTAGGAGGTTGGGTGTCCTTTGGAGGGTGAGACGGTACTTCACGCCGAAACAATTGCTGAGCCTGTACCAAGCACAGGTTCGGTCCTGTATGGAGTACTGCTCTCATCTTTGGGACGGCTCGGCTAAATATCAGCTGGACGCGTTAGAGCACATTGAGAGGCGTGCCAGGAGGCTCATCGACGATGATGCGCTTGTGAAGGCTCGGCTTCAAAGCCTCGAACACAGGCGTAAGGTTGCAAGCCTTTCGGTTTTCTACCGGATACATTTCGGGGAGTGTGCGGGGGAATTGCACAACTTGATTCCCCCTAGTCCTTTCCATCATCGTACCACAAGACAATCCGCGAAGCGTCACCGATTCATGGTAGATGTTCCGCCCACACGCACGAAGCGCTTTGCTTCAAGCTTCCTTGTGCGTACTGCTAAAGAGTGGAATTCTTTGCCAGAGTCTGTATTTCCTGAAGGGTATAACCTGGGAGTCTTCAAGGCCCGAGTGAATAGGTTGCTTATGGGACGACGTGCTCCAACGTAGACCGCATCATCGCTTACCAACAGGTGAGATAGTGGTCAAACGTCGCCCCTTCAATTATAAAAAAAAAAAAAAAAAAAAAAAAATAATCATTAAAATTATAATTAACTAGCTGTAGCCCGACATTGTCCGCGACAAAAAGAAGCTGTGTTACAAATATCATTACAATCGATTCAGTACCTAAGTTACATTTATTGTAAAATGATTTTTTATTTCAATCACAGGGATTTTACCGGTATTTCTGAAACCACGCGGGACCGAAGTATCTGTTCTCTTGCCCAATAGGGCCGATGCCGATTCGGAGTCGCGGAGAACCTAACGGGTAACCGGGGCTCCGGCTCGACGTGCAGGAGAAGGAACGGGGTGGTTTTTAGTCAGTAAGAGTCTGACACTCCCTTCCGCCTCACCCAGGCGGGAGCAGTCATTCGATGATTTTCCCCCTTAAAAAAAAAAGTATTCGTTCCCGTGTGGTTTCAGGAATAAGGACTATTCTATGTCCTTTCCCGGGATACCAACCATTGTTGTACCCAATTATAATCAAAAAGATACAGCGGTTGGAAACTCGCAGGCGTCCTTTTCCGGGCCTCAAAATATCATTGTACCGAATTCCACTCAATTAAGTTTAATGGTTTAAAAGATAGCGAGAGACCTAGAAGTTTAACGCTTAGTTCCTGTTCCGTGGGATTTCCGGGATAGAACAATCATAAGTCCTTTCCAGTGCCAGTGTCTATAGTTTAGGTACTATCGTTGAACCGAATTCCAATCAAATAGGTTTAGTGGTTTAAAAAATGAGTTCCGGGATTTAGCACATACTTTCCGTTATTCTGGGATTTCTGGGTTATTACTCGATGCTACTAATTTACTATTATCTAAAGGAGCAAACTTTCAACGTCTCGGTCTCGACGGACCAAAATGATTTCAAGGACTAATATTAGTATTCAGCCATGTGTAATTGATTAGTTTTTGATATGTGAAAAAATAGAATTTCAAGTTAACAGAAAATATGTTATTCATGGATTCATGGATTTCTCTCTTTAGCTTGCTGTCAACCAACCTCTTTGCATCCTTTATTGATAAACGTTACCAAAAAAAAAATTGTCCATGATCCATTGGCTCTGCAAACTTACTTGTCAAAAAAATGTCAGAGGACATAGAAATATTTTGTGATTTCAATTTTGGAACGTGATATTAAATCCTCCAACTACCACTTGACACTGGCAGTATAGTCGACAACATCATATTGGAGACTCGGTTGCCAAAGAAGTGAAAAAAAAAATTTCTGCTGTGCTCCAACGTACACATGCAAACACACTGTCTTGATAGACATGACTTGAATTTCAACTTTATATAGCCGTAATAAAGCGCACTCTGATTGGCGGCGCTGTGATAGGCTGGGTCCGATCAACGAATCAGAGCTAAACGCGGTCCCGTTTCGATTACTAAACCCTCTAGCTTATTTAAATAAAATGTTTTCTTTTAGAATGACTACAAAGACGTGTTCGTCGACGATATGAACACAGGGAAGGTAGGCACAGACATTCAAGAAGGTAAATTAACCTGGTTTGCTGTAACAGCGCTGCAGCGCTGCACCGAAGGACAACGTTCCATCTTCAAAGAAAACTACGGCAGTAAAAACCCTGAACATGTAAAGCGCATCAAGCAGCTTTTTGATGAATTAGAAATGGAAAAAGTATACAAAGAGTATGAAAGTTCTGTGTATGAAGATTTAGTTCGTAGAATTCGGGCTTTGCCAACAAAAGGAGAGACACAATTTTACTCAGAAATTTTGGAAGCGTGCTGTAAACATCTCTATTGATTTATAGGCCTATAATGGCCTGTCGTTCTTAACATAATATGTTAATGTAAATGATGAATTTATTTATACGAAACAAAATGATAGTATCATTGCGTAGGCCTTTTATAAAAAATATTAAATAAATATGTATTTTTCTATTTATGTTATTAAGAACCAGCCGACCAGGAAGTCATTGGGGTCGGCCTATGCAGTTGACATCTACGGCTGATCTGATAATAATGATGTTATCATCAGTTAGTTATTATTAAAGAACAAAGAACTACATCATGTTGGCATCTTTTTTTTGAGGGGGGCAATCGAGAATGAACAATAAAGACCACCCCATTCCTACTCCTGCTCTTCGAGCCCTGGAAACCCGTTAGGTCTTACGCGGGTCCGTTTTTTTAGCCCTTAATATTGCAAAACCAATATGTGTAATAAATTGTGTATAATGTATAATTTATTGTAATAAATAAATGTATCGTCATATGATCACATCGCTGAATGAATTATTATTGAACGGTTTTATTTAGCTTGTCCAGTTTGTTTGTTTAGGTCTTTAGTAATTTGAATTTTACTCCCTTCGATATTTGGTACACAGTCTTAATCTTCACGACTATACAACATGTTTAAGCCCATTAAAACCGTTAAACATATTTTTTTATAAGTATAAATTAATATAAATTGATGCATTTGAAAAAATACACAGGATCTAAAAGCGAAATTGCCTTATCTTCTTATCTAAGTGTGGGAGAGCCTTGAGGCACGAAAGGGCGGGACGACCGGAGTGATAGTGATATAATGAGGCCCAATTACCCCCGCCCCACCCTACCTCAATCCCTGAATCCCCAACAATCCTCAAATTCCTATTCCCCAAAAGGCCGGTAATACACTTGTAACGCCTCTGGTGTTCCAGGTGTCCATGGGCGACGCAGATTGCATACTACCAGGTATCTATATAAATAAATAAAAACATAAATAAATAAAAACATCTTAGGCCAAGTTTAAAAGAACAGGAACAATAAAACAATCAGATGGGTACTATCATAGTATATTCCAAAAATATAATGTTATACATGACATTGCTTTATATAATCGAGTATACGGGGTAGTGTCACTGACCCCTATTAAACAGCAGTAGTACTAAACTAACGTAAAATGCAAAACTTAACTTAAACACTTTGCAAAATATAATACACAATATTTATTGAGACGCTTGTTACGAGGTTAAACAAATGTTTTTCAAAATGGCGCCTAAAAATGGCGGGAACACACAAAAATGACGTAACAACCGTGTGGATATTTCTAGACTAGGGCCAGAGACAAGTCGAAATAAAGACGAAACTTAAAAATATCACAATATTTTATTTCATAGAATAATTTATATAAACTGTAAGAACATAATATAAAATTCAGTTTTGACTTTTGCTTTAAAAATAACAGGACATGAATACATGAATTACCGATTAATTGGTGTTACGGTTGGGTTTCTGTGAGTTGGTCTACGCCTATAATTATACACCTTCCCAAACTACCTAGGGCCTAGGACCTTCTGATACCGTGAACGGACACAGACAACAATATTATATAAATTAACTAGCAAACCCGGCGAACTCCGTTTCGCCACCAGATGGTTTTAGTTTATGTAACATATCATTAATTTTTTTTCATAAATTTTCTTTGCTATAAACCTCACGGAGCCCGAGACCTTTCTATCGAAAGCAAAACCGTGGAAATCGGTTCGTGCGTTCTGGAGTTATAGCGTCAGGAAGGAAAGCCCGACTTATTTTTATATAGTAGATAAGACATAAAACAATATGTAATACATTGTAATAAATACAGATTTGTTCAGCAGTTTGTTAAAAAAGTTCAAGTAAAACAGACTCAACGAATTGTGCCTCAATAGTTGCCCACTTTGTATGTAAACTTTCGGAAAAAATCGGAATCATTCGTAAATGTTCGGCTGGAATATTCTAGAACATTTAATATACCTCGTAACAGTTCTCGTTTTAACGTAAATAGAGTACAGATTTAAGCGTTAGCATCATGTGCATTCACGTTTACAAACATCGGTATATTTGTGTTTGAAATGACTACAATACGTCTACTATTTTAATTTGAAACACTAATTTTTCTCAGTCACAAATATGATCCTTATTGTGGAGGGAAAATGGTTTAAACTGGTGATATAGGCAACAGAGGAAATTACACAGATTCACAGTTTGAAATCGTTAAACATGAGTTAAATAAACCAAAGTGGTTCTTGAATTTACCCGTACTTTAACAAGGGAAAGAGAAAAGAGAGGGAGGGAGAGGGGAATATGTCCATCCCACGTCGGAACTGTGTTTCAAGTAGAATTAAGTTTCAAATTAAAATAGAAGACTAATAGTACGTGCTAATATAATTTTGACTAGTAAGCACCAATTGACTAACATTATTTTTATTCCTTACAAAATCTATGTACAATCTGTTTTGGCTAATAAAATTTAGCCAATAAAACAGTATCAGTTTACGAAAAATGTTTACTAAATAGATATACTATACTAATATTATTATACAATGAATACATCAAATTATAGTTTGAGCGACGTAAGTGCAGCCCTATAAACGTAAATACTCAAGTTTACAACATAAAGAAATAAAAATATTCAATAATAATAACATAATACGTTATTTTGTGCATATTCGTAGATATAGGTTAAAAATGGAAAAGGTTTTAATACATTATGAGTTGCTATTCGTATAAATAAACAAACAGGTACAGTACAGATAATAAATTGCTATTAACTAAAGTGGCTCCCTCTACTTATCTTACAATGGGTAGTTGACAAGATGATTAATTATTTAAACATAAACCTTACGTTCTATAGATTAAAGTATTATTTCAAATGTGTTCTTTTAAACATTTATCACGTTTCTAACTATCTAAGTATTGGTTTTTAATAATGCCTAATAATGCCTGCAGTGCAAGTCAACGTAAAACAAGAATTAGAGTCGAAATGAACCTTTTAAAGAGAGAAAGAGTTATAAACAAGCAAAATATTAATTTCAAATTATAATAATAATTACGTAATTACATAAAAATAGGTGAATGTTACTTGTAAATGTTATTAGACTATAGTTTAGTTGAGAAAGCTCTTATCAATGTGATTGCTAAGTTATTAATACCTTAGGTTGATATCAATTGTGATCAGATCAAGTTATTTCTAATACATATTATTATTATAGTTATATCGTTAATTCGGTGGTCCTCTTTAACTAAGTTTTATTCACAGAGTGTTTAATAAACCTATTTTAACTATAGGATCTTGTAACTTTTTTCGAAGCAGAGAAATGAAAGGTTTAAATATTTTTTATAGACAGTTTTACGATGAAATTCAATCGTGGTGAATGAACAATTCCTCACTATGTCAAACATAATAATTGAGCAATCTTTTTATGTTATATGGTTCAATTCAATGTTCTACAGTTATAATAGGTTTAGATTTTTTTTATGAATATAAGGTAAGTGTTACGATATACGCAGAAATGTGTATGCTTGCTGCATTTCATTCTCAATAACCAACTACAATAGCTATGCTCCCAGAAGAACATTGTTAATCGCAAAGTTCCCGAACTTTCTATGAATACATTAATGCGATTATGCATTGTACACGAATACAGAGTAAAATTAACAAAATTAAGGTCGATTATTTAACCACGGTCATATATTTAATTTTAGCGCCATCTTCTCCTATCTTACCAATATTCCAACCGTTGTTCAATAATATACCTTATTAACTCGTCGAGTACCGGTTTTATAGACACAATTAAAGAACAATAGGTCGCGGTCACCGGTGACCGCTTGGTGTTTGACAGATTAATACTATTTACTACGCTCATATTAGAATATCTACATCTATTTGGCGTGCACAAATTGGCATTTTCAATACCAAACAGAGACATCAGTCGCGAGTGGAATAACATTTTCTTTCGCCAACCATGAGATGATTGGGAGAAAATTCAACGTCTTTTAGGGTAGTGCTACCAATTCAGTCAACATATATATTATATCACTACATATTTGCCGATATCGAACGTAAACTTATAATACAAATAGCTGAATAAATCGTCGCGCGAATCCCCAATCGAGCTACCTATCACCAATTTTCAGAACACACAAAAATCACTCTAATACCACCTAAAATTGAGTGCACTTTAAACCACCCAGTGTTGTGAAACACTAAATACATCCGACAACTCGGAACAACAACCTTACTCCTCAAGTGAACATAGGCCGAGTATGTATCATTCATTAGATGCTTTGTCTCTCTCACACCACTGCAAAACCCAACTAATCAGACAAGGACGGCAACATTCATTAAACTAAACCAAATAAACATAACTTAGAATATATTGCCGTCTCTTTTTAACTTGCAGCTAGACGAACAGTGTGAGAGAGACAAGACTTAATTAACTCGACCCAATAACACGTAATCAATTCTCAGCCTTAAATTGCGCGGCAAAATACTCAGCCGCTTACCCGTCCCTAAAAATGAAATACAACTAGCCAAGCTATTTGATATACAGGTAAGAAAGTAAAGATTGATTCAGTACAGAGACAGTAATGTAAAACGGAGTGAATAAACACCGAAGGTGAAAATTTTTTTTTTTATATTTGATGTGCTAACGTTTGGTAAGAAATGATGTGGTCTACGACTGAGGACGTCGTCCCATAAGCAACCTGTTCACTAGGGCCTTGAAGACACCCAGGTATACCCTTCAGGAAATACACTCTGGCAAAGAATTCCACTCCTTAGCAGTACGCACAAGGAAGCTTAACAGCGGGTTCGCACTTCGTGCATGTGTGTGGGACGTCTACCATGAAATATTGGGAAACTGTTCTAGTAACTTTAGTAGTTTTATTACAGTAACCGTTTGTTCGTAGCTGGAATCTATACTAATAATGCTGAAGATTTTATTCGCAACTACTGGTTTGATTTTAATATTTAATTCTTTGTAATATATGATCAATAGGAACTAAGCAGCGGTAATACCTAGTACAAAACACATAGCTTCGTTTAAAACCATACAATTTAAAAACGAATACAGAATCGATCTACATTTCCTTACCTGTATGTTATAACTTGGCTGCCTGCACATTTTATTTAAAGTTATATAAAATGTAGTACATACATCGTGCTCAGGGGTCTGTTTGCGTGAGTACGGGTAGTTGCGGGGCCACGGTGAGGCGGCGGTGGGCCTCCGAGCCCGTGAGCGCGGCCACCGTCACTCCGGCCTGGTACGACGCCGGGATGCGAATGTGACGCGTCCTGGTACCGTAATCTCCCCAGCCTATAGCACGCCATTCGCGAATCACGTTTATTACTTGACCTGTAATCGTAATCAATAATAATTATAGTACGCCTTTGAAGTGAAATCGTTGCGAATTTATTCGAAACATCATAATTATATTTTATGTCTATTGTCTATTGATCAACTGATCGAATCAATCATTGGAATACTAGTCTTTTAGTTAAAAGAAGAAAAAAAATTCTTCTGCAAAAATACAATCCATTACAATCCACGTAAAAATGTAATAAAATTGGAAACAATCAAACTATTTGAGAAAACACTACCTTATGTGACAAACCTTAGAAATAAATTATCATTCGATAAACTTACCAAGCACATTAAAAGTATGGAACCGTCGATCAGGAACGACCATCAACGGTGAGAGATCAGTATCCGCAGTGAATCTTGACAGGACATCCCTAGTTTTGACCAGTAACACTGAAGGTGACGTCAGATGTTGCCAGAGGGTGGCTTCACGGATGCATTCTACTGGATTACATAGGTATACTCCTCGTGGGGATACTCCGAAGACCATCTGATGGTGCCATGCATCTGGGATGTCATTCTCGTAGCCAGCTTGTAAGTTCAGTGTTAATATTGGTACTGCGCCTGTGAAGGACGTAATTACATGTTACGACATTTTACGAGTCACTGACATACGGCATAGGGTCGTGACGTGGCGTGACGTGGACGTGATAGGCATGACGTATGTTTCCCAGGTCGACGGGCTCGGTGTGGGGGCAAAGTTTGTTTAGAAGAAAAAGAAAAGAAAAAGATCTTTCCTTACAAGAAAATAATTAAGTCAACATCAACAGCCTATAAGTGCCCACTGCTGAGCAAAGCCTAATAAAGTTACTGGCGAAAAATATGTAAAGACCTAATTAGTACCTCTTTGCAGTTCTTAATCTTATACTAATATATGTATAAAGCTGAAGAGTTTGTTTGTTTGTTTGAAAGCGCTAATCTCAGGAACTACTGGTCAGATTTGAATAATTCCTTTTTATTAAACCATAATATTAAATTATTTATATTATGAAGTCTCAATTTGAACTGCATGTATGTATTGATGCAGTTTTCAGAAAAGTGTTTCTTACACTTAGTAGAAGGTTTTAGTATATTAATTGACCGACATCCATAAAAGAGGGGGTTAAAGTCGGTTTTTAACCTAGTTTATAAAATAATTATTTAGTTTTAGTTTGCGAATGAAAGTTAAGATGAATGGTAGAGTGCGTTTTATGTGTAATATTCTACTAAAGGAATCATATTAGTCTCATAAAACTGGCCAAAAATTGATGAATACTTTTGTATATCCCTTCAGGGATGAAATGGCGTATTATTATGTAAGTACCAATGTTAGAAATATTGATAAACAACTTAACATAAAACGTAAACTTAACATAAACATAAACATTTTGCTTCTTAGTAAACAAAGTTTAAAAAAAACTTATTTACAGTTAAGGACTAGCCTTACTATCCATTCCAAGTAAACGCTAGAAAGTACTATAATGGCATGACACAAAACCCATTAAACTATTACGATTACTCATGCATATTTGCATTAATATATGCGAATTACGTCTTTGTCAACTTCCGTCATCAAATAGTTTAAATTATTTACATTTTTACTATGATGATTCATGAATGAGGCCTTTATTTAGGTAAAGTTAAAGTTCAAATTCGTTTAGCACCGTTATTCATTGTTTGACCTTAAAAGTAGGTTTTCATTTTTTTTTATATTAGATGGGACTGACGTTTGTTAGGTTGTTGCTTTTCAACTTCAATAGTATTTGTAGAAATATTTACTTAAAACAGGGAGATTGCAGTATCAATGGTTGAGCTTTATCAAAGAGCATTGCTTCACAAACTGTCAATCTGTAGTCGCACAGACGGTCTTGCAATACCCACGGGGAAATTTACGCCCGAATACTGAAAGTCTACTAAATTTAAAGTCGCGCTTAAGTATAGTTCTATAACCACAAGTAATTTGTAAAATTACAGAGATGGTGAATTATTCGTAAGAGGCGATAAATGAAATTTACCCAGCTCTCACATTATACTTACCAACAGTAATCCAATCAGCCAACCAGTGAGACAGTGAGATGGCTCTCTCAGGGTATGTGGGGAAGAATCTGGCAGTGACCAGTCCATCTGAAGCTCTGTGTATGCCGGAGACCAAGTCTGCTGCAGTACAACCCGCCACCGCGCGGGAGAGCAGGTATCTAGAAGCAGTTAGTTGAGGTTTAAATTAAAAATTCATAAACAAATATTACCAAAAATGTAACACTAACATTCCGAGATTTGGTCACATTTATTTATTTATTTAATACAATTACTTTGCCATTACAGATAACTTAACCTAATTCGACATAGTAAATTAAAATATGTTTCCTAAACTATTAACTATGAACTATATTTAACTATAAACTTATTAAAATTTTAACTGCAAACTATATTTCCTTACACACTATAGAATAAGTGGTCCTTGTGAACTCGCTCAGTGTACAGTTAAATATGTCTACGACATCAGCCACCGTGTTAAGAGTGCCCAAAGCACGAGTGAGCGGCGCGCGCTCCAGCAGGTTGTCTTGTTAACTAACAAATACTATTATAACTCACTGTGAATCAAATGAAGATAATCTGGATTCTGTAATATATCACATACTAAAACAGTTTCCACTAAACAAAACTAAAATATAAATACTGCAAAAAGTATTATACCTCGGTAACGGAGCAGTGTTAGCTCGCTGTCTAGTGCCAACTGATGAACTTATCTTCTCTAAATTCACAGGAACACCCAACGCATTCTGTAATGTAAATTAATAATACATTGTTCATTATCCAAATATTTCGTACAAAAGAACTGTAAGAATCACTATTATACTATTACTAAATACTTATATTCAAGTTCTCAAGTTCTCAGAAAACAATGTTGTTCAATATAGACGTAAGTTGTATTATACGTAGTTTAACAGATGACGTAAGAGATGTTATCTATTTGGTACATCAATACAGTTTCGAATATACTCACAAAAACATTGACAACAGCAGTAGCACCGCAGGCCGAGGTGCTGATCTGCGTGACCTGTCTCTCGCAGGCCTCGCACTCCGACCAGATCATGCACCGCGGCGGCTCCACGCATGCCGCACTCGTACTCGTGCTCGCTGCTGCTTCACTAGCCTAAGCGAAGAAATAAGTTAGTAATGTAACATAACATCACGCCTTTTTATCCTCGAAGGGGTACACACAGAAGTAACACCCACTTTTCACTATTTATGTTATGAGTCCCATGTAATAGGGGGCGAGCCTATTGCCATATACCGGGCACATTTCCAGACTCCGTGCTACTACTGAGATTTTTTTTAAAACCCAGTAATACTTTGCCCGACCCGGGAATCGAACCCGAGACCCCTTGCCCGGCAGTCGCACTTGCGACCACTCGACCAACGAGGCAGTTAGTAATGTAAGCTTGACAAAAGTGTTCAGAATAATTGGGATCACTAGTATCGTACCTGTGGCAACCTAGTACGGTACAACTCAATCGGTTTTGATATTTGTTATTTTTATCGAGTATAAAAAGAGAAGGTACTATTTCCGGATGATTGTTTATTCATGGGATATGGTCTGAAGTGGGTGACTCAGTCCAAATCAATATTAGTGTCAGCGGTCGCCGCATCAAAACTATTTTTTGCCACGCTGTAATATTTTGAATGCTTCCTTAAAAATGCAATTGAAAAAGGACTGCTTAGTTCATTGTGTGAACTGCTTCAAAAAATTGTCGCCATGTTGTAGTCACTTTCTAGTCTAGATTCATACCCTTGAGGTCTTTGAATAAGATTTATAAGAAAAGACCTTGTTTTCTTATGTCTTGTAAGAAAAATTTACTGACTGTGTCCTCAATGTAGTAGGTTTTATGTATGTACTATGACTAAACGATTGGTGAAACCAAATCTTAATCTGTAGATGTGAAACAGGATCAATTACCTTAGCAGTGGCCTGGTTCTCAGCATCACACCGAGCCTTCTCAGCGATCAACTTCTTAGCCATTGTAACATGATACAGAGCTGATGATAAAGTAGCAGTATCAAGAGTTGACTGGTTGATTTGGTGAGCAAATGCTTCCACATGTTCATCATCATCTGCAAATGATTGGGTTATAGTAAAACTTGGAAGACACCAGGATACCTATCAGAGATAGACATGAGTACTCACTCAACTGTCACACTTAAATTGTAACAGCAACCACTTATATCGCCTAAATCTTATATTATTATATAAAGCGAAAGTTTGTGTTTTTATTGTTTGTTTGAACGCGCTAATCTCCATAACTACAAGTCTGATTTGAATAATTCTTATTGTGTTGGATAGCGCATTTATCGGGGATGGCTATAGGCTATAAAACATCACGTTACGACCTATAGGATCTGAGCAGAGCGTGTGAAACCGCGCGGAAGTAGCTAGTGTTATTTATATTTCTAATACTAAGGACAAAGGACTAAGAGTCTAAGAGAATAACAAAGCTTCCAATTAGATTTTTCTTGCCAATGCCTTGCTCACAAAATAAAAGGAACCAGATACTCAATCTGTGTAAATAAATACTGTCTTTTATGTACAATTACATACAATACAATAATAAAACAACACTGTATAACTATAAATGAGGAACCTCTTTAGTTTCAATGTCTATAACCACTTTAAACAACTCAATAATCACTGGAACTGCTAATAGCTTTAATATGATAAAATAAATACTTAAATAAATTAAACTAATTACTAGTCAGTCATGTATTCTAACATATCTCTCATTTGATTATCTACCATTTTTATGATACAAAATGAAAAATATAATCTAAGTGTGAACTGGATTGTAATAACATTGGAATGTTACTTGATTTCTGTAAACAAAATTAGTAAAGTATCCCATCCTTACAATTGCATAGAAAAAAATTAAAAACTCACAACATAGTAACTCCGAGGGTGATACCAAGTCTCCGCTTGTGAAATGAAGACTGCCTGCAAAGTTAATAGGTCCATGTGCCATTGTTCTCCTGACTATAAGCTGCTCTCCCCTTGAATTAACATGGGTGATGTATGGTCCATAGCTGTAATTCTGATCCACATAATTATGGCTGCTACTGCTCTCAGGAGCATCCCCTTGACCCCCTACGCCTCGACTCGTTGATGGCACACTATATGAATATAGGTCTGCATCCCCATGAGATCCCGATGCTATTGGAGGTGGCACACTCACAGGAGCATATCTGACCGGAGGAACATACTCCGGAGATGTTCCCCTCACCAAGACAGGCTCATTCTCTTCTGGCATGTTGCTTGCAGATTCCAAATCAGCATCAGGGGATGATTCATCACCAGTATCCACTTCACATGAAGGTCCAGGATCAAAGTCCATTTCCAAAAAGTCCATATCAGGGCTAGAAGCTCTTGAACCATGTTCTCGACCTGCAGCTGCAGCCTGCGGGGGCCCGGGAAAATTAGGCATAGCTAGATGTTTATCTAAAGGCAAACCCATGTCCAGGCTAAAGAATGAACTTGGCAAGTCAGCCAAATGTTCTCCACCCCTGTATGTGTAGATGCACCCATCTTCTGATCCCAAAGAATAATCATCATTGCCAGTATCACTAGAGCTGTCTTCATCTAGATTAGGCCTGTTAAGCTTCAGACTTGAGGGTCTCTTCCTGTTCTCTCTAAAAGGACTGCACTCTGCATTCTCACTAGGTTTACTAGTGCCACTTGTTGATGGGAGACTACTGCTGCCTGCCTTGTCTAAGCACACCTTATGTCTCTGGCAAGTTTGTTTGTCCTGGCTGCTCTCTGTACCATTGTCATACAGTGCTGGTATGGACCTGCTGTTGCCAGGAACCGCAGGGTCCGGTAGATCAGGTGTAGAATTTGTTACTTTGTTATTACAAAACTGTGGTTGAGTAGAAGTACTTAGGGCTTTACTAGTTCCAGGAATATTTTCGCTACACTTACTAGTTTGAGAGGTTGATTCATTGTTGGATGATGAATTTACATGATTCGGCTGAGGTCCATTCAAGGGGACAAAGCTCGAGCTTGGATTGGAGGTCGATGTAAATAGGTTTTCAGCAGAGTCTCTTGGCCCTGTCGGATTAGGAGTTTCTTTATAATCTTTACTATTTTCCCCTTCGCCATCTAGCTTTACAGAATTCCTCATGGACGAAGAATCTTTAGAAGAATCCATGATTACAAATACATTGTCGAAGTCGGCATTGTTCACTTAAATTTTTTAAGGTTACCAATGGCTTGTTGATACAGAAAGAGGCGTTAAGAAAGGCACATAACTAAAGTTTTGTCGTATTACGAACAAATACTAAGAATAAATTCAAGAACACTGAATATTTAGGGCACAATCTGCAAAAGGAAATAATAACAAACCAATTCGCAATATTCAGATCAAAATCCTAATTTGACATTTGACAGAACGGAAAACATAAATGACAGTTGATTTCATTCAAAGAGTAAAGGAGGTAGTTTCTTGTAAATAGAGTTTTCGTTTCATTGTAAAACGTGGTATTTTCATTCATTACGTTTAGAATTGTTTATGGATTTAAAGCTATGTTCACAATATATTGAAATTAGTGGTTGATATTTCACATTATTATGTTTATATTACGAAATAAATAGTATATTGTTGAATTTAGGTAAACATTTATAGCAAACCGGATTTTTCAAACTACTAAAAAAGCCATTAACAATCAGATTCCGACAAATAATACGGATCAATGGATAGAATTCCAACAGTATAACCTGCCTTTATAGTAAAGGCTATGATTGTCAAATTTTCTTTCATACATTTTACAATGACAAATTGATTCAACCAGCTGTGAGATTTCTAAAAATTGCGTCTTATTTGTTACAATATCAATCTATTCCGTAAAATCTTTGTTTATCATCATCGACGATTGTAATTTGCAATAGTTACAAAGACCTGCAGAGAAGATGGCATACGCCTACTTGTTCAAATACATCATCATCGGCGACACAGGTATTGATTTTATTTCCTGATATTTTATTTAGACATCTAAAAATTCTGAGCTGTGTATTCATACTGCCTTTTTGTGTAAAGTTCACGATATCGTAATTTGACTCGTCTTCATTCATGTGCGGGATCGATCGATACCTGCGCATTGTTATGAATGTTAGTATTTTGTGGTAGTCGCTTTCCGCCTACGCTGTCTGCTAACTACGTCGAGTTAGATCTCTAATGCGCATCTCATTATGTACTGTGCAGTGAAGTTCAGCAAATTAATGATTTGGATCAATACATGTATTTCGTCATGTGTTTCTATGTATGTTGTTTTGAGCCTCATTCAAGGACTTTCTTTGTTTGTTTTTTTTTTCATCTAAAACTAGTCTATAGGTGCATTATTTTTTTTTAATTTCATTGTGTAGCAATAAAATTGATACCAATGTTCCTATTTTGTAGTAGTACTCTTAATACAGACTGATTAATGTGAGAGATAAAGACTTCAAAGCTCTTATTGGTCTTGCTAATGATTTGTTTATATAGACATCACCTGTTCCTTTGTCTGGTTTTATTATACATTGACCTCTTACTGATATTTATAAAGCATCTTATTTATTTAGGTAGTAATTTGATATTTTATTCACAATGGCAAGCAATAATTATGAAAACAATTTGATGCTGGGGAACAATTTTACTATATTATACAGGGATGTTATGTTACTAGTATTAAGACAAAACTATGTAGTAGTAGTAGTATGTAAGTAGAATAGGATGAAGACTTTAAATTACAACACTGAAATGATAAAACAACATCTTTATTCACTGTTGTGAAACACAAATATGTTTTTAATTTCTAATAACTATGTTTTTTTAATTTCCATTGCAGTTCTAATGATCTTTGTTTTGTATTTGTTCTCAGGCGTAGGCAAGTCATGCTTACTACTCCAGTTCACCGACAAAAGGTTCCAGCCGGTACATGATCTCACAATTGGTGTTGAGTTTGGTGCTCGCATGATTACCATTGATGGCAAGCAGATCAAACTGCAGATATGGGATACTGCTGGGCAGGAGGCTTTCAGGTAAGACAGATAATATACTCAACCTAGACATATTATTATTATAAAAAAGAAATAAGTCATTGATAACTATTAACTGACTGAAATGTAGATATTCTGGACAGTTACAACAATTTGAAACTACAAACGCTAGGTGCAGAGCACTTTTAGCATAAAATGCCTTTATGGCCAGACACATGAATGTAATACAAACTATATTTTTAGAGTAGTATAAAAGGACCATAACCTGGAGCAATGAGATCACTTTCATTCATATTTTTAATTATACTTTTTTTACTTTTTATGTCCACAAAGCATAATGGTACATTATTACTTGTTCTATTGAACATTATAGGTACTTATTATTTATTTCTGTCTTGTATTAAATTAGCAGTAATCATGCTAATTTTATTTCATTTCTATTGTAGCTTATTCTAATAGGATTATTGACAAACATGGATTTTCACCTAGACACATTATACAATCACTATGTTTGTTGTGAATATGATGTCATTTTCTATTCATCAGTTAGTGTATTTGTTTTTATCAAAACTAGATTAGATCGAGATCTAAGCAATCTAATTGCATTGGACGAATTTGACACTTAAAATTAGAATCTTCAGTTATAAGAACCCTTAAAATTAGAATAAAAAACATGGTCAAATTAGTCTTTCTTTAACAATGATCCTTATTGAATTCATTTAAGGATATACTTATTGGATTATTCATTGATAATACTACTATAATGTTTGCATAACAGTCTGCACCTTAACTTCAATATACATGTGAAATGAATCATACAGAAATTAACAATAACAATGTAATTCTTACTTAAGCATCATATCAATTGTTAGTATCCTAATGAGTCAATTTGAATAGATATTTCAATATTATGAATCAATACATATATTATTGTATTATAACAAGTGCCAAACTTTATTAATCTGACATCACTACTCAAAAACTTGAAGACTTGGTTTTCATTCAAGAAGAAGAGAAAATGCAACAACTGACATAATATTACACTTGTACTGTAGTGTCCAATGGGGTAAGCTGTGTTACTAAATGGTCCCACACTTTATCTCATTTATCATTATTTTATTTGATTATATATACTATAGACTTATACTACAAGCAGTGCACTGAACTAAATTTTCAACTCTGAGCTACCAATGAAAATTCAATAAATAAAATATCTAACAACATTATGCCCCACTTAGAGTAAGACCGAGACCTTGTCCTCAACACTCACACTATGCAAAATACCTACTCTACCAAGAAGGCAGTCTAAAATAATATTAACCTTCTTTTTCCTTTAGTTAAAAAGTTAACCAATTTGAACAAAACAACAATTTATTGTACTGCTTGCAAGTAACCTAGATTTTATGCTATTTAACATTCAACACCTTGTTAGTAAGAATGCTTTAAAATAATGTAATTATAAAGAATTTCATGCTTAACCGAGCATTAAATGAAGTTTTTTGTGTAATATAATTTTTCTTTTTAAAATATGACAGTGATATGACTGGAAATGATTTATTTATTGTCTTTTTATAATTAATTAATAGTTGTTAATGTGGTGCAGTCTTTTGACTATTTTCTATGAGACTAATAATCACATTCCAATTGTTAATAAAATGGAAATACAGGCATATTTATTTAACAGAAATAATGAACTCAATCAATCATGCAAGTGTCATAAGATGATATGATTTCTACTGATTTGGAATTCATAGAAATGTATTAAGAATATTTAAACAAATTATTGCAAAGAAAAAAATGCAATCAGACACAACTAAACTAAGTTAGTGAATGAACTAGTCCAAAATCCAAAGGCTGAAACAAGCAGACTCATATCAGTTAATTATCAGCTACTAATGTGCTAACAGTACACACATTCATTGTATTTGTTTGACCTTGATTAAAATAATCAAGTTTTACATGCAAGTCGGACACAGGAACAATATATAAATTGTAGGTTTGTAGGTATGTGAATTCATTTGCAGGTACTTACGAATTTAGTTATTGTGCAATGTTTCATAGTAATAGATAGACACACATGCTCATTCTAATATCTAAAGTTAATCTCAATAAATCAATATCAAATCGGTCCACAAAGAATCTCTTTGGTATACCATACATTGCACATACGTCTAAAAGTACGTAATAGACTCAATTTTATACGAGGGACATTAACGGCATCGTATGTATGATAGGACGAATATCTGTAGCTTGAACACTAAAACAGCAATCATTTTGTAGGTATTGTTTTTAAACTCATAATTTGATCAGTGGATCAGTGATATCCAGATGCAATAATCTTAACTTTCTTTACAGATCGATCACACGATCATACTACAGGGGCGCGGCAGGGGCCCTGCTAGTGTACGACATCACCAGACGGGACACATTCAACCACCTCACCACTTGGCTTGAGGACGCACGTCAACACTCCAACTCAAATATGGTCATTATGCTGATTGGCAACAAGAGGTGAGATTCTACTGACAGCATTCCTTCTATTTTTTTATTTTTTTTCTATTAATTTGACTAACTACTCCCGCACGGTAACACTCACTGCACGGCTTTTGATCGTCGCGTGATGTTTGATAGCCTTCTTCGGTAAATTTACTATGCAACACAAAAATAATGATCCAATTCGTACCAGTATTTTAGGATATTAGCGTTTTCAAACTAACAAACTCTACAGCATTATAATATTAGTATAGATTTCTAAGTACAAAAACCCACCCTGTAAACATATAGGTCACATTTAGTTACAAATTAAATAGGTAAATAGGTCAGCGATTCAGGGCGTGAAACCAACCCTCTCTCTTTACCATAATGTTAGTAGTTAGGGTCTTGTGTCACTTGTCTATTCTGCACCTGTAGCCAAATGCCACTTAGCGCTTGTCTACATCATGTAGGACTACATGTAGAATAGAAAACAAAATTATATGGAATTGACGTAAATTTTGACACTTGTCAGTGTCATCCCCATACATTTTGATTTCTACTCTCTCTGTAGACAAGCGCTAAAGTGGCGTTTGGCTAAAGGCCCTGGGAATTGAAAAGGATTTACTTTAATGATTAGTTCCCAGTGTTACCATACTAATTACACGTTTTGTCTAACTATTACAACAGGTGATCAAATTCCAATCCACGAATCGATTAACTTTCCATCAATACTAATGTGTCATGGCTAAAGTCCCTTTGATCAAACGCGTTATCTCGGGAATTACTATTTGGAACATAACATAACCTCACGCCTTTTACCCCCGAAGGGGTAAGCAGAGATCCACATTACGGCACTTAATGCCTCTGGATGATGTAACAGCCACTTTTCATTATTTATGATAAGAGTCCCACGTAATAGCGGGGGGGGGGGGGGGGCTGGATAACTATTTGAATTAACATATAAAAATATGTAAATCCAAATATTAATCCAGCGCCCAGCCAGCGCAGTATCGTATCATAGGATTTTTATGAGTCTTATTAGGGCAGAGTTTGAGAATAATACTTAGGAAATGTATTCAGATATAATTACTTATATAAATTGTGTTTTACTGTCTTACACATAAATAGTAAAATGATTCATCTGTATTCCTCCTTCACTACTGTATACTTAAGTAGATGTTATTTAAATGTGTGAACAAAGTGCATTGTGTTCATATTTCCGTTATCTATTGTAAATAAGCTGTTTGTACCATGAGTTGGTCAACCGTTATTAGCATAGTGCATGACATTTCCCTGCGGAATACGGGTCGCACTTATTTATTGCACAAGGATGTATGATGATGATGATGACTAATCACTTAACTTCTTTGATATAAAATAATGTGGGTATGTATATTTGTTATAAGAAATATTTTTTTAGTTTTTGTTTAGCGCACGGTTCAGATCGTAATGCGGTGCTCTATAGCGAAACCGAATGTCAATGATTCCTCAAGTTCCATGACCTGACCATTATTATGAATTTGATTGCAGAGATAAGGCTTAAAATCATGTAAAAAATAATGATTATAGAGCGAGGTTTAATTATGGATTGGGCTATGTAGTTTCTAACTCCACAACATTTAATTTTTTTGGGTAGGTAAATTCATGAATTCGTACCTATCTATATGTATAATATTTATTTCCATTTCAGTGACTTGGAATCGCGACGTGAAGTAAAGAAGGAGGAAGGCGAGGCCTTCGCTCGTGAACATGGCCTGGTGTTCATGGAAACATCAGCCAAGACTGCAGCCAACGTGGAGGAGGCGTTCATCAACACTGCCAAAGAGATTTACGAGAAAATACAGGAAGGCGTATTCGATATCAACAATGAGGTCAGTTGAACACGCTTATCTGATAGTCGATACGCGACTATGATAATTTGTTGTTGAATTACCTATGGATATTAATATCGAAAGTTTTTATCAGCAAAGATAAATAGATAGAAATGTAAATTAGACTAATTTTCTATGTAAAAGTTTTTAGCATTGGCTACGTAATAACATTAATTTATCATGACCTTGACCTCTTGTTTGTATACAATATACATTCATGTTTCCAATGTAATTGTTTTTGTTTGGGGAGATAAACGACCAGTCGGATCACCTGGTGGTAAGCAATCGGCGTCGTCTTGGGACACCCGAAACGCCAAAAGAGTTACAAGGGTGTTGACGACCTTTTGGGGGATTTGGGGTTTGAGGGACGAGGATAGGACCTCTGGTAACCTTACTCATAAGGCGAAACTTCATGCAAACGTTTGTTTCGCACCGGTTTTCTATGAAGCATGCATGGCTGAAATATGAGTGATATAGTACTTGTGCAAAGTATATTTCATCATATTGTTGCCTTCTGAAGACGCTTAGAAATAAATAATATTATCTCTTTACAGGCAAACGGCATCAAGATTGGTCCCCAGCACTCGACGGCAGGTGGCGCGAGTGGCGCGGGCGGCGCGGGAGCGGGCGGGGCCGCGGGCGGAGGCTGTTGTTAGGTACTGCACTGCACACACTGAGGAGGGATCGCTGCCCTTTAGATCGGGCTGATGAGGTAACTATTAATAGGTACTTCTTGTTATTGGGTACTTCTGAGGTCTACTTAAATTATTTTCGAGCTGATAATGTATTGTTAATACTAGTTACCCGACTCAAAAAGAGAGGGTTGATTGGATATTTGATACTTAAGCTTTTGTGGCATCCGTCATATCTCTCGAACGGTTGCGTTGGGCCGATCTTAATTCGGATTTCTTCGGTGATAGTTTCGGTTGCGGTAGTTGTATAACATTCAGCTGTTTGAATAGTTTCAGCTCTTTTCCAAAATGATAAAACATGATGTTAATGATGTATTGTATTGATTAAAATCGTATTTTCCAGGAGGAGGTGCAGCTGTGTGCAACGAAAATTGGTACGAAACTTACTGCATGCCGGATTCATAGAATTATTTTATATATGCTACAGAATAGCTTGCGTCTGACTCGCGTTATAATATATTACGCCGATATGGCATCTTTATACTTAGTAGAAATATTCAATTACCTTAAAATATTACCATCATAATAAGTCGAAATCAGATCCTTGAATAAATGAACAACAATGCAGGCAGATCGAACTCTAGCATCCAATTCGTTTCTCAATCCCTTTTTACAATAACTGTTAGGACCCCTAGACATGATGGTAAATAAATCTAATCTCACAATTTATATGCATCTGTAGTACCATATACATAAGTTTTATTCGAACGAGTACAGACGGCAGATAAAGGTTACGCTGAATGGACCAGATGTGAGAAATTAAATAGTCGTATGTAATTCATAATAATAGATCCTTCATACGAATAAGCTTTTATGTAATTTTGTGTGTATGTAACTGTGTATATTTTATTTGCATATGTCATAGAAAGTTTCACAAATATCTCGTAATCTGGCATTTATTTAAAAAGATCGTGTTATATGTTGTATATCATCTCGTGATCGTCGTGTTGGCCGAATGTATTTGTGCAAGGCATCTATGTATAATGCCTTCTTTGTACAATTACCTATATTGGCACTTTTTCAGAGGTTTTAACGGATTGGCCGAGTATATTCGTACTCGATGGATGAAATTCTGCACCAATATAGGAAATTGTCTGGAGTGTGGATATGTGTCATCGTCATTTGGATGCGACTGAATGTTCGCCAAAGTATGCGTCGCGTAACATTTTAAACTTGTATTATATTTTGTAGCGTTAGCTACAATATCTAACAGGTACATTACATTATATATTTAGGTACATAATATATTGAAATATTAGTAAATGGAATATTTTTATTTATGTCAACATTTTAATTTATGAACATTCATCTGTACAAACTGGAAAATTAATCCTGTAAAGTGAACTGTGGTGTACACATTGTATAGTTTTAAAATTCATTAAATTGTGATTGATTTCTGGTACCTTCTATACCTTGCATCGAAGAATGGAGACCAATTTGTCAGCTGTTTAGATCAAAGTACCAAATATGCTTTTAGGTGGTGGCCTAGTATAAATAGTTATGCACAAGATACCAATTTTGGAATGGTTTTGAAGTGTTGAAATTGTAATTCTTATAAAAGGACTGCTTGCAAGGTACTGAAAGACATGATTACAAAATAGGTTATTTTTAAGTTTAGCACATTGTAATGATATAATATTTTGTAAGGTTACAATATGCAGACACATTTGTAAGGTGTAATTCATGAGAGTAAATGTTGAAAAACAATGTTGTTGTTTATTTATTTAACCCTGTGACTTGTGATTGACTCCACTAGTTATTATTATTACTAATCCTGATAACAAATGTAACGTAAAACTGTTTTTGAAACAAACAACACTATCATAACACATTTTATTAATGCTATGAATCGGATGCAGATGCATTGCCGGAATCTCTCTCTGAGTACATATCATGGCTGATGTCATTGAGGACAGTAAACACACAGTTGACGATCTCTGGCGTTTTCATTTTCACTGCGCCACTGTTCTTTACTTCTGCTCTGGGCATTGACACCTCACACAGATCAAAAGTAGTAATATCTATGAGGCTTGATTCAAATATTTGGTTCTGCAGAATTTGGTATACTGATGTCACTAGATCGGATTTCTGTGTAACTTCATCTTTGACCCTGAAAAATAATTGTTCTATTATTATTTTAAAGAGTTTTTAATAGTTTATTTGGCAACATTTGCTAACTTTGTGTAGAAAGATCATAATAATTATGGCTTCTAAGTTAGTAGAAATGAATGTGAAGAAAAGAGTAGCCCGAAGCCAAACCATTATAAAATTCAACTCACCCATTGCATATGATCTGGATGTCTCCAACTTCAAATGATAGATTCAATTTGTCTTTGTGGTCAACTTGTGGTGTCTTGTATGTCAATGTAAACGGGTCTGTGCTACGAGATGAGTCACTTTCAACAAAGTTGAACCCTAAATACAATAGTTGTTGCTGAAAATGAAAAATAAGATATTACTTTTACTGAAAACTGTTGAAATATCCAAATACAAGCTAAAATATTGAACATAGTCCTATGTTCACTTTCAGGAATGGCTACACAGCTACAGTAATGATTTAGCTTTCAAATAGTCTACATCAATCCCCAGCCTCCAATGTCTAACAAAATCATACTCATCAATCACACATTTGAATTTAAAAGTTTAGTAAATATGTTACCAGATAGATTGTTGAGTTATAGAGAGAGAGAATAAGAGAAAAAATACCTGTGTAAAACTAAATTGTTTTATCTGGCAGTCAAAAATAGTCTGTAATGTAGACTTCACAGCGGTGCTAATTCTTTGTTCACCTCGCTCCAACATGTAAGGTAAGTGAGTGGCGGTGCCCACTGATATGTTTATACCCCAAGACAGGAGAATGGCTGCATAGGACACCTTACTTTTATTATTCTTGTCTTGTGATGATGACAACACATTGATCTGAAAAATAAAATGAATAGTTGTTGTTATAAATTGCTGTTTAGGTTTGTCTCTCAATTATGCTATGTACTCATGACAATAGAATAATAACAATCCCTTTTATGCAGTTATTATCATGATTCTCATGTATGATATGAGGGAATGAGTCTATTTTTTATAACAAACATAAGCAGGCTATCATTTCTTGTTGTAGTCATTTTACTGTAAGTTGGATATATAATACTATTCTACTATTGCATGTACACAAATCAATCAAATGTAGTTATCATTATAAATAAGTATACTCACAATCAGTGCACTAGGATCTTCTTCTGAATACTTTAAATTAACTTGTTCTTCAATTTGAACGACATACTTGGTTGACGAATTAGCTGGCATTGCACTCACAAGAGCTTGTCTGATTTTGGACGCATATTGTTTGAGTTTCACTGTATTGTACTGCAAGTTGTATAACGGTGATACTTTGCTCAGTCGCCATATACCTTCATTGTAAATAGCTACAAAAATATAACTTTAAAATTTAGAGGAAAATCTCAAATATGGTAATATTTTGTAAACAAAAAAACTATTTTATCTTACCAGCCAAGGGGTCGCCTGTGACGATATTTTTTGAGATTGAATTATTTTCTCTCTGCCAAGCAGGCTCTGATCGATACATAGCCATTATTGTTTAATATTCTATTTAATATTTATTTCATATCACATCAAAGTAAACAACAGAAGTCCGCACAACTTTTGAATCAAAATGTCGTTGCCCGTTGACGTTTGTTTTGAAGTTACTCTATGCCCTCTGCCCTCTTCTTTATGTGCTATTCCATTTCAAAGATTTTATTGTTCAGACTTTTACAAAGAATCAAGGATATCAAGTAATTGCAAGGAGGTTCAGGTCCAAAAAATTAATACTTGTTTCTATTTTTAAAGAAGGAGTTTAAACATTTCATTTTGACAAAAAAATGAACGCTTTAGAATTAAAACATTTTATTATTGGTAAGCTCAAGATAAAACATCTTCCTTTTTAGTTCGAAGGATATTCTCTAAAAGGGATGAACATAGTTAGTATTATGATACTAACTATGTTCAGATCTCATCCATTTCCCTCTCAGAATTGATTCTCCTGGATTATGATCCAGGAGAATCAATTCTTGCTGTATTCTTTGCACACTGGATTACTGGATAAAATGCAAATTAATGGATAGGGGTCAAATGCCCGCTAAAATTATATCATATTAGAATTAAGTGTAGAAATTTAAATTGTTTTTATAAATATTGGAGCTCTGAAGTTCCTGCCGACCACCAAAGGACAATAGCGTGAAAATCTTTTTGTGGTTCGTCACCTACTAAACCCGGCCCTAACCTTAACGAACGAACGAGAAGGAACGGGGTGTTTTTAGTCAGTAGTCAGTAAGGGTCTGACACTCCCTCCCGCCTCATCCAGGCGGGAGCAGTCATTCGATGATTTTCACCCCAAAAAAAAAATACTTCCAAATACAACCTCGTCCTCACGGCTGACATTTAAAATTTGAATGAACGCATGACATTGACTTTTTGACTGTCAAAATGACAACTGACAATGACGTACCAATCTGACTGAACAAAAAACAAAAACTTGTTTTGCCTGGTCTGGACTCTGGTGGTTGTTCATGTTCATTGAGCATTGAGCAATTTATACCAATAAAGTTCGTATTTCTTTCTTCATAATATATTGTAACGTCACACGTTAACGTCACAGTTACAGGCCAATTTGAGATAGAAGGTATGTAATCTGTTGATACACAACAACTCGGGGAATGATCAATATTATCAAACTTTATCTTGTAAGTGGAACGCACATAACTTGTTTATCGAAAGCGAATGTTAAGTTGGACTTTGAGATTGATAATTACGCCGGGTTGTAACTGTGTGTTGGTCGGTTTCTTTCTCATTTACATTCCGTTTGTCGCGAAGGATGGACCAGCTACGTTTTGACGGTCGTGTTGCGGTGGTGACCGGAGCCGGTGGTGGTCTTGGCAAGGCCTATGCCCTCCTCCTGGCATCAAGAGGTGCCAAGGTCGTGGTCAACGACCTCGGTGGTGCCCGCGATGGAGTTGGAAAATCAAACTTTGCTGACGCTGTTGTGAAAGAAATCAAGGACAAAGGTATGAATATACTTATTTAAATTTATTTATTTATAACTCCGTTAATTATAAACTGCTATGATCCACTAAGGTATTGTTGTTTTACTAGGGTGGCAGTAAAATAATTATCATCAATAAACAGGTTTTCCTAAAAAACTTATTACTTCTTAATTTTTTTCATACTTTATTTATGTTGTTGACTTTGGACTCTGCTTTTTAACTTTGCACTCAAGGTCAAAGGATCTCAGACAGTTGAAGTAACACTTGTTCTGTAACACATATCAAATAATAAATGAAAACATTGTGAATATTTGTTAATGTTTTTTGCAAATATAAATACTTGAGACCATTTTATGTACCTATGTGATGAAAATGTAATCTTTGGTAGCTACACGAAGTGTTTTTATATTACCATTTAATTTTTATCAGTCTGGTATATAAAAAAGCAAATATTTATCATCATTCTGATAAATATAGTCCCTGGTTATAATAACAACAACATGTTAAGTGTGATATTGTGGAAAAGTTGTATTTATTTCATTGTATTATAGTCATTGACCCCGTTTATGTAAATTTTAATTTCAACTGGAATATAAGTCTAATTAACTGTTAAATCCCCAAGCAACCATTTGCCTAAGCCAATGACCACCGATGACCACTCTCCACTAACCATTATAGACCTTATTTGTTATGTTTAGAAACTACTTTTGTATGAAAAAATTTTGGGTACAATTTATCAATATATTAAATTCAAAATTGTTAATATCAATACATTACACTTTCTAGGCCTTAATTTCTAATATTCAAATAAACATACATAAACTTCTGTTTATTTTTAAGTACAAATCAAATAAGTAGAAGGGCTTTTAGAATAATATACTATTTGAATTTACTGACAAAAAGTTTGTCTTACATTTAAATAGTATCCTAGTTATTAACTCATATACAATAACCTGATATAAATCCCCAAAATTTGTTTATACAAAAGTAGTCTTTAAACATCAGAAATAAGGTCTATAATGGAGTTAATGGAGAGCAGTCACTAGTGAAATGACCACTTGGGGATTCATCAGTTAATGGTGGTTTTTAAATTGAATTCATAAAACTTGAAATCAATGCTTGCTGTAGTTCTCTGTAGAAGACAATAATCAGAATTGGTTACAAAGTTCCTTGGTTTGCACATAAATTCACCTTTGGTCAGTCCAAAGATCAAAGATTGCTGTAGCTAGGTAGACATAAATTAGAGTACCATATATCACACAACCTCTAGTTTTTATAGAGGATAGATAAGAGGCAGATAACTAGATAACAGTTACATAATGCCAACATAACAAATAGGGACTTTACTTAATCAAAAATAAATTATTTCGACTGTTCAATACAATAAAATGTAAAAAAATAACTAATCACACTTTCATTAATTGATTTTATGACCAACTTAATTTTTAAGAAATAAGTATGCTGTTTGTCGCTAAAAAAACGGGGCGTAACAATACACAATCTCGTATAAAATTCATAGAAAAAAAATTGTTTTTGACAATTCGAAAAAAGTATTGAATTTGACTAGATGGCAAGTACCCAATTATCCTTGACTAGTTATATTTCCAGCTGACTAGAACATATAAAACAAAATGATATGATATGCGCAATAGGTGAATCCTATTGCCTTACTGATCAATTTATATCTATAATAAACTTTTTTTAAAAGAAGTGTCGAAAGCTACTACATAATTATTTATCTATCAGGAAATACCTGGATTTATAATACAAAACTACCTATTATGTAAATAATAGACCTATGTAAAAATATTTTTATTATTTTTTTATTTCATTACTCATTGATAGTCATCACTTATTGACCTTTTATGTTCATTTCATGTTTCAATCATATGATTTTAATTTACCTAATAAGTATATGGATCTACTCAAATGAAGATATCACAACCATAGTATAAAGAACACAGTAGGTTATCTAAGGCCGCCCGCCGAGTTATTAGCCTACTCTTGCGTTGATCCCCAGGGTTGTCACTTTTACTTTTAGTTAATATTTTCGAACAAGCAGCACTTGATCTAAATTTATGAAATGAAAAGCATATTATGATTGAATATTTTATCAATTTATAAATTTAGTAAAAATAAAAACCTTATAAAAAGATTATTAACTTCTTAAAATAAACTTTAGCTCTATACATAGTATTCAGAAAGTAAATTTGGGAATACATTTATATGGAAAAATGCGACACGGCCACGCTCTTAACAAATCAGATAAACTGTGAAATAAACAATACAATACCACATTTTCTTATAATATTTAAGTATAGTAGGTATTACATTTCTGGTTGAGTAGGAACTATGAAAAATGATAAGAGTAAGAATAAGTAAGTAGGTATCTCATCATCAAGTACCTACAAATTATATTATGCTAGAAAAAAGTGACTAGCTTACCTTTCCTGTTCAATAGGTAATCTGAACAGAGACAGTTCTGGAATCGATTAATTATTAAGACACCCAAACACACAGCAATACGTTCTTCTACGGTTATCAGACATTTTTTATTTCATTTAACAGTGCCGAAAAGTGATGCGCGCGCGAACCTCGTGCAGTGTTAGCCCTGCCTGGCGCACTGAGAAACGGGTCGAGATTTTGTTAAAGTGTGCGTGCGTCGACGCATAGACACTATGGCGCACACATATAAGCCGCGCGCGGAGCATTTGTATGAAGATAACCTACTTTGTTCTTTATACTATGTCACAACATATCATAGAATAATTTACAACATTGTGTCTACATCTATTCTTAAATATAAACTCAAACTTCTGTAGCATAAGATAAATCAGAAACTGTATCTGCTACATAGTGAAAATTGGGTGTTACAGTGGCATTAAGTGCCGTAATTTGCACCTCTGCCTACCCCTTCGGGCCTTTGGGGATAAAAGGCGTTAGCCTTGATGTATCTGCCATTAGCACACACTCAGAATTAAGTCTGGATACATTTGTTAATATCAGGAAAAACACAGGCAACCAACTGTCTGTTTTCGACATTTTTTAGAAAAAATGATAGGTTCAATGCTCGTAAAATCTGGGAATAAGGGAATAAACCAGATTCAAAGTTTCATATCCTTTAGCCTTAGTTTTTTTTTATATTTGATGGGGCGACGTTTGACCACTATCTCGCCTGGTGGTAAGCGATGATGCGGTCTACTAGTTCTAGTTTATTCTTTCACTTCATTAAGTTTAATGTAAGTTTATATTTATACTAATGATTTTTCAACACCACAGGTGGTATCGCTGTAGCAGATTACAACAATGTCGTGGAAGGCGAGAAGATTATTCAGACCGCCATAGATAACTTTGGTAGGATTGATATCCTTATCAACAACGCTGGTATTCTTCGCGATAGGAGCTTCACAAAAATGTCCGACCAGGTAGATATAATGGATTAATTTATCTCTAGGTTACTAGGCGTATTTACAATAATAAAATGAGTCTGTTGTAAAAGTATTGACGTCAGAATGACGGTGCATATTTTCATAGAGGTCTTTAAAACAATTAAAACAGCTTATTATAAGCATTCTTGCTTTTTACTATTTATTATTATAAGTTGGTATTTCTACCGCAGAACAAAGACCTTTGTGGCTTTATTAAAAATAACTTGTTCATTAAAGATGGCATATTGTTACTGTTATAAAACAAGAAAAAATCATCCACTACTCCAACCTTATCAACTTCTGATGGCCTGATAATGATATGGACTCCTTACTTCCATTTAGGACTGGGACCTCATCCACCTGGTCCACTTGAAAGGTGCATTCAAGACCACTCACGCTGCATGGGAGCACTTCAGGAAACAGAAGTACGGTCGTGTCATCATGACCTCGAGTAACGCCGGTATCTTCGGAAACTTTGGACAGGCTAACTACAGGTAGAAATTTCAGTCTTTCTGAGAGTACTGCGTTGTGACGTCCATTTTTACGTTATGTCAACGTATTTTCATTTCACGTTAACGTATCGTGGTACGTTACCGCACCTTGCCAAGTTAACGACGTCAGGACGTGGAGATGTGAACAGGGGGCTTACTCTTGAATCCAATTCCGATCGATCGACATTGGTATTATGAAATTTCGTACTCTTGAGTTACAACACTGGCGCCCTTTGCATTCGTATTGCGTGGATATTGAATGAACTAAATGGTATTGAGTTTGGCTTTATATTCAGTACTCTATGAATGCTATTTTAACAGTTACTATTGGGGTTGTATAGGTTTGACATTAAATAATTATTGACATTGTATTGTGGATTAAAATTGCATTGACCTTGAGATTGGTTTCAAGAGTAAGCCCACAGGCCTTAAGTACAACGGCAACTCCAGAAATATCGCAAGTGTGTTTGGGACCATGTAGAAGACATAGAAATAACATAACTTGGAAGAAAGTGTAGAATTTCTTGAAGATATGCCTCAATATCTACACAATGAATGCCACGGGCGTTTGGTCACATAGCAATGCATAAACATAATGAATGATTTCCATTCATTTTCACATATTTATTTAAAGGGAATTTGAAACAATGACTAATCGAAACTTCATATCATTGGCTATGAATAACAAGCATGCGTTTATACAATTTAGTTCATTATAAAGGTTAGTTAGAATATTTTTATTATTGCATAAGTGCTTGTACTAAAAATCGTGTCAAGTGCGATTCAGATTCGCCCTTCTAGAAATTATAGGGATAGAAATAGAGATATATTTATTTAGTAAAACATATGTAATTACAATGAAGGTGTTTTTGGTTAGTACAGAGTCTACATGTTTTGCCATTTAGGCAGACAATACCATCATCTACAATCATCATCATCATCATCATCATATCAGCCACAGGACGTCCACAGCTGAACATAGGCCTAATCTAATCTACAATCAATCAATACTAAATCAAATATCAATTTTTGAACGAAAAAAAATATTTATAATGTAAATGAATAACAATAATATAGAATTTACTATTGTTACATATTGGGGAGTAATTTTTACAGACCTTTATTGTTCACCGTAATATCTCCTGTTAGTCTATTTGTGACTGTCCTGAGCACATAGTAAAACATTAAAAAAATATTAAGTTACTCATTAATTAGCATTACAAATAAGAACGATCGTTTGATCCTTCTATAAACATGCATACGTAAAAACTATATTTCACCTGTAATTTGTTACAAATCGCCACCGTTTCAGACCTCATGCTAATACTGAGAATTTCCAAAATTTTAATACATACTTACATGTCATACTTTGTCTGACTTGGAAGTCTAGAAGATTCCTTTACCTTTCCCCTAAATAGAACTTGAGACACCTTGCTTGGCAGTTACGCCTTGCGACTCGACCGACGAGACAATATCATAAATATGATAGATTAATTAATGTATTTTTTTACAGTGCTGCAAAAATGGGTCTGGTCGGTTTGACCAACACCCTGGCTATCGAGGGCGCTAAGTACAACATTAAGGTCAACACCCTCGTGCCCACTGCTGCCTCTCGTCTCACTGAAGACATCTTGCCCCCAGAAATGTTCGAGGCGATGAAACCTGATCTCATTGCGCCCGTTGTTGTGAGTACAAAATTATAAACTTATACGGTAAAAGGCAGTCAGTTAAAAGTAAATGCTTTAAGTATTTAATTTTAATATGCTACTTAATTCTCGAGGAAAATATGAAGAAAGCAAATAATTACAAAAGTGTATTATACCTTATCACACAGGAAAATGAAGCTAAGCTAGTTCTAAAGTGTAGACGCCTATCGATGAATTTATCTCATTTGTCGAAATCCATAAAGGATTTGCGGAGAATTCTTCATATTATTAGATTGTTCTATCCAAATGTAACAAGTTTTAGTATATTTGAAGTTAATGCGGTATTATGAATATCATGTCTTTACAGGCCTACATGTCCCACGAGTCTTTCCCTGACACTGGAGCGGTCATTGACTCCACCCTCGGATACGCCACCAAGATGCATTACGTCAGAGGACCTGGTGTTGTGTTGAAGTAAGTAAAGTTATTTATGGTAACTTTCTTTGAAGGCTTTATTCGCATGAATTTTAGAATACTTTTAAGTGTAAGTATTACATACAACTATATTCGCCGGAGCTGGTCCTAAAAATAAGTGGGTTAGGTCACGACTTCACGTCTTTACCGTTACAATTCATAATGTCTATGTAAAACTTTAATATACGAAGTACGAAACTGGTAATGGACAGCTTAATACAGCCTTCATGGATATGTAGTTTACAAGTAGTTAAGAGCGCGCCTAAATTACAACTACCTTCTCATTCTCGCTATAAACTAGCTCGCTAACTAGCTAACCGCGTTCCCGTGGGATGAAAGTGGCCTGTTTGTTATTATAGACCATAATTTATTCGTATTCCGAGTTTCATTCCGATCCCTTCAGCCGTTTTGACGTGAAAGAGGAACAAACAAATATACAGACAAACAAACATACAGACAAACAACCATACAAACTTTCGGATTTATAGTAATAGGGATTGGGGGTATCATAATAAAGACACATGTTGTAACGGCCGTAATCGACTAAACCTACAGTAAGTACTTCAGCTATTTAGTCACAAATTGAACTCAACAAACCATTTTTTATATTTATCAACCTCAAACCATGTACCAATAAAAGGCATTTAGATAAAAAATAAATTTACAATAGGTGGTGTTGCTTATCATTATATAATATGTTCTTATCACACTGCTGCCAATGTTATCTAATAAAACTTGGATCTATTTGATTACAGTGTGGTAAATAATAAAAACAGATAACAATTTGTTTGGTGCAAGTACTTACTATCGGCAAAGTGTATAGTACACTTTTAAAACAAAATCCTGTGGCAAGCTCGCTATCTACCAGGCATTTTCCCTGTGATCACTCGCGTCGAGTGCATACGAATATCACCTAATGATGGTCGACCGCCGACTATGTTGATTGTACTTAACTTATGACGTCATTGTATACCACGCTTACACGCGCAAGAATAGACTATCTACTATTCAAGCGAGATGTTTCTAAATTATCTATGTTAAGGGTCACAGAGTATGAACTTAGTCTTTGTTAAGTGGCATTAATATTCGTTTCTCTATTGAGGTCAGGCATCTCTTGAATTGCTTTGTTTATGTACACATAATGTTTTTAAGATTTTACGAATTATACCTACGTATTAAGTTTTCAGCCGCTTTATTCCAGCAGAGTAATATTTTGACCTCCTTCAAGTCTTATGCATTTAAAAAAAAATTTAGATATCCTATAATCCTGCCATTATATCTGTTTGATCATATAACATCATAACATCGCGCCTTTTATCCCCGAAGGGGTGCATCAAGGCAGAGGTGCACATTATGCCACTGTACAATGTAACACCCACTTTCCACTATTTATGTTACGAGTCCCATGTAACCCCTATAACCGTATTGCCATATACCGGCCACAATTCCAGACGCCGTGCTACTGAGTTTTTTTTTTAAAAACCCAGTAATACTTTGCCCGACCCGGGAATCGAACCCGAGACCCCTTGCCCGGCAGTCGCACTTGCGACCACCCGGCCAACGGGGCAGTATCTGTTTGATCAAATTTCATCAAAACCTCTTCAATTTACTTCTTCACTGTCGTTTCGCTCTTGGCAGAGCGGTCGTGATCACGTTGAGGCGGCCGTATTTGTGTTGGAGGTCGATACTGCTTTCGTGTTGCCGATTTGACTTGATCAGTTCAGCGCATAGATGATTTGCCTCGTGATCTAGTTCCCTTTACTTTCCCCTGACGATTTTCAATTTAAAGATTCAATGATTTAGGAATGTATTAAATAAACACTAATTTTTCTTTTGAAAACGACACTATTTTGAAAGAAATTTGTGAAATTATTTAGATTTCACTGCTACGTAATTATAAAGATATAGATAATAATTTATACGTTATAGATAATAATTTATCAAAAATCGTCAGCTTTGTAATGTTTTCAATATGAATAAAAATATGAGAATAACTCTTTATGATGATTTAAAACCTGTTCTCGTCATTACTTGTCATGAAATACGTATTTAACAGTAGATTGAAGGTTAATTATTAATTACACAAGGCATAATGAATGCCTAATCGTAGTTTTAATGAAGTCGAAAACAATAATTTTTGTTTTTACGGGACTGTTATACATTATTTGTTATATTGTACAATTTTAAACTAATTTTAAACTAGGTTCTTGTGCAATATTTATGGCCTGGTACTGTACTGTATTTAAAAACCTACCCTACCTACCACTAGTCTTTACTCATTTAACTGAGTGATGTGGTAATCTCAACTTTATTCCATTAGCTTATGATTTATATTCTTTTGTTACCAGGAAGAAGCCATCCGACCCAGTGACAATTGAGTCAGTCAAGGAGTTCTGGCCTCAGGCCATGGACATGAAGAATGCCTTCCACTTGGATAAGATGGCTGAAGTTACCGTGGATCTGGTTGAAAGGATTCAGGTAATAATAGTAGTGGTTCTGTTTCTGGAGCTCTATCCAACCCACTGGTAGCTTGGCTCATAAGAACTTAATTAATCTTTATTTCCTTACCTACATACCAAAGGGTTCTGCTGACCGTACGTCGTATTAATATTTGTGAAAGTTTAAGATTGTATGAATATCTTACGCAAAAAGGGTATTATAGTCTAATAACACAGTTTTTCCCGGTAATGCGAGCAACGTCTGCGATCGAAGCTAGATGATAATTTATTACGATTTAAAATAGGCACTTAGCTCCAAAAAGATCTTGCTAGAAAACATTTTACATATTAATCTGTATAAGATTAGCTAGAAAATTATTGCTATCAATACCTTTTACTTATCATTCCTGTACCTACCAAGGTAACAACGGATGAACTTAATAAAACATATTCTTATCTTAATTATTGTATCTAAATATATGATTGTGATTTATCTAAAGCTTACTAGTTACATTTAGATTATTTATAAAAAACAAGCTGTAAACAGATTCAAGTCCAACTATTTTATAGACTGTTAAAATTAAAAATTTAGAGCCATTGGTTTAACCCAATTTCCAATCTGTTATGAACGATCAATTATTTTAATTATGATTTTCGGGCATTTTTTAAATTATTATGTTTTCGGTTTACTCACGTAACTGTTTAGCGAAGAACTCGATTAGTTTCAAGCCATGTTAGAGGCTCATATTTATGAGCAGCATTCCGCGACCCGCGACGCGGCGACTGTCGCGCTGCTTCTGACTTTTTTTAGGTATAAATACCTGCACCTACCATCTAAGGCACATCTAAAGTAAATTTATAAATTGGGTGATCAACATTTGTTCAGTTTGTTTCATACAATTTTGATTTAAAGTCAAAGTCAAAATCATTTATTTCAATTAGACCAGTAAGGCACTTTTGAACGTCAAAACAAAATATTTAAATATTAAATAATAAGAAAAAATAAGAAAAAATGTCAGTCTGTAGGTCAGTCCTCTAGTGAAGCTATTTGCTCGTTCCAAAGTGTAGATTCCTATGGAGAAGAACGAGCAAGAAACTCCATAGGTTACTCTTTTTCAATCATGTTCACAATACAATTTTTGGTTACATTCGAATTCGAATTTGGTTAAAATCGAATTATATAAAAAAGAGTGGAGTTTTGGACGACATGAATTAAAATTTAGACTTTTTTGGAAAACTAATCTTTAATTACCTATATATGCGAGGCGTATGATCGCGATTTTTTTTTGTAAGTAAGTAGTGTCGCAACAGTTTATGCTAAGTTTCTATGCATAAATTAGTCATTGTACGAACCTTTATAATTTATATCACCTTGCCGAAATATGACAATTATGGAAAATAGTCCAAATTATGCGTCAACGCTGTAATTAGGCAGTTATTTCCATATGCAAATGATTTAATGTATACTAATTATTATTTGTTTGCGGTCCTTTTAACATATGCTTTTGTAAATGGCTCAGTCGAATTTGGAACTTCTCAGGGAACGTACCCTACGTAATAGAATTAATTCGGGTTTTTCTAGAAGTATCTATCTATACAATGATAAATCGCAGCTTTGCCGCTCGTGAAGCGAAAATTGCACGAATGGTACATACATCATCCTACTGCTTTATTTATAAAAATAACGAATAATATTATAGATAAAAATATAATCTTAAAAGTAATCCTACATCTTTTAACAACTGCTAACATAGGAATTTAGACCTTGTGGTAGTGGTTTATACAGTGAATTTTTGTTTAATACGAATATGTTGTTATAGGACTTTGAAGAGCGCTCCAAGTTGGACCCTGACGGCAAATCGTACTGGTCTTCTTACACCTATAACTCTAAGGATCTTGCCCTATATGCTCTTGGAAGTAAGTACAATCATTATCCTTAAGTTAATCTTCTCCATGCGAGTAGGGGCCTTTGTTCAGCTCTTATAGACTGTTGATTTATCAACATCTACAGTTTATGGTTAAAATACCATTTTTTTTTAAACTTTGACCGTCTTTGGTTTGCCTAGTAAGTTTTTTTTTAAACATTGACCTAGTCTTTGACGTGGGTGCGACATCATACTCAGACCCGTAACAACAAGACAAAAATGTGTAGATCACATGTGTGTAATACCTGGGGCTCCTGTTTGAGACATCTAGAGATTACTTATAATAACAAAAATTCTTAACACAGGTTGCTAACTGGACTGTTTTATTTCTTAGTCGGAGCTTCAGTATTAAACGAGGGAGATCTGAAGTTCTTGTATGAAAGTCATGAGAACTTCGCTGGTCTGCCAACCTTCTTCATCCTGCCCGGTATGGCCATCGAGTCTCCCCTAGTCGCCAACTCTATGCCACCCGGCAAGTTCGCCGACTTTACTAACGTAAGTACCCACTTGTTATTAAGAAACTAAGTATGTCATGTTTTTATTGCGCTGAAAATTATTATTACCTAGTTAATCACATAAAATATTGATATAGGGAGGGGTACTTAATCATTTTAGTTTTGGCCAGTTATATTGATTACTAGTAGATGCTCGCGACTTAGTCCGCGTGGAATACTGACTTTGGATTTTTCTTCATAGCTCAGCGTGATAATATGTGGACCTGGCGTGTTTGTAAAATTCATGCAATATTTGAAGTAAATCTATGCAGTACTTTTTTAGTTGAGCCCGGACATACATACAGACAAAAAATCTAAAAACTATATTTTTGGCTTCGGTATTGATTGTAAATCACGTCCCAAGTACTCTTTTAAAAAAATAATCGATGTACACTTTTTACTTTTCTACGATTTTATTATATGTATACATCAAGTTTTTTTAACCTTTATTTGAAAAAGGGCTTTAGCAAGTTCCACTTTAATAGTACCAATGAAAATATTTACTGAATGTGAAATTTTGATTAATACATTGCGTTGCTTAGAGCAATTCTCGGAAATGGCTAGTTTAGCTAGTCTGAAAAAAAGAAACATCAGAGAAAAATAAACTGGAAGTCAAGTTCACTAAAAACGACGTCATCGCGTCTCTTGAATCAGCTTATTAAAATTGTTGAACGTTGTGTTTATAGATTCTTCACGGAGAACAGTTCATCGAGTTCGTGGACGAGTTCCCCGGCACTGAGGGTGACTTCAAGATCCGCAGCTACTCCGTCGACACTCTGGACAAGGGATCCAGCGCCATCTCCATTGTTAACAGTGAGTATTCGAATCTGGTGTTAGGTACATCTATCACAGAGATTTATTTATATTAGATGCTACAAAATTTTATAATGTATCGTGTTCTTATGAAAATGCTAGAGGAAGTCGGTAGATAGTGACGAGACGGACGCATGTTGACCAAATAGGTGGCATATTGAACAGGGGCCAAGTTATAACCGCCTCCAATTGACTAGGACTCAGAATTAATGTAGACAAAGCGGTTGGTGTTCCGTCCAATATACTTTCGACTTTATAACAAAACGTTAAGGTTAAAAACATATAAAAGAAAAAAAAAATTCGGTGGTCGCTTGAAATCGGTACTAATGTTTTTAAAAATTCATGGATAACAGTTCATTTTAGTACGTGACCCAGACCATGTACGGACTCATGACGACACGGAATTAATTACGTTACATATGTAATTGAAATAGAATAGTAATAATAGAATTTGTTAACCTTTTCGTTTGGTTGACTAATGAAATGTCATTGTTTGTTACATATAGATGCAAAAATGTTTACTCCTATGTTACACATTTCAATATATTACCATTATTACTCGCAAAATTACATAACATTAAAACTGAATTACCTCATTACGTGCATTGACAATAGAGAAGCCACAAATAAAAGTTAATTATTTGTCATTTAAACTTTCTTCTTAAGTTATTTGAGGTTGGCACACTGCCTTTTTCCCCTTTTATTTGTCTTATGGAGATTTTCACAAGTGAAAACTAACTCCTCGTTTTTTGCTTGACCAGGCGAAATCTACCAGAACAAAAAGCTGGTCGCCCGCACTCAGCAACATATCTTCGTGCTCGGCCAGGGTGGGTTCAATGGTCCCCGCAACAGTAAGGGCGCCGTGGAAGTCCAGCCCGCACCCAAGAGGGCCCCTGATGCCGTCGTCGAGCAGCGCACTGCTGAGGACCAGGCTGCTTTGTACAGGTAATTATTGATAATCGTATACTATGTTATCCATCAATATTTAAAAATCAGCTCCAATTCTTTATGATTATTATGCATTTGAGCTCTAGTTTAGTTAATGTTGAAAAACATCTCACAATTTGTTTGAATTATTATTGTGACTGCCTCGTTGGCCGAGTGGTCGCAGATGCGACTGCCGGGCAAGGAGTCTCGGGTTCGATTCCCGGGTCGGCCAAAGTATAATTGGTTTTTTTTTAAATCCCAGTAGTAACCCGTGTTACTGGTACGTGGCCTGGAAATGTGCCTGGTATAAGGCAATAGATTCACTCCCTATTACATGGGAATCATAACATAAAATAGTGAAAAGTGGGTGTACATTGTACAGTGGCATTAAGTGCCGTAATGTGTAACAAAATAGCATACTTTCATCTCGTAGTTGGCCCAAGTCCGTATATGAAGCTCAGAAATGATCTGTATTTGAATGTGTAAAATAATCAAACAAGGGTAAATACAATTTACTTAACTTTTTTTTTATTTTTTGTCAAAGGTTGGCTGGTGACTTGAACCCCCTGCACATCGACCCCATCGTTGCGACTGCCAGTGGACACCAGAAGCCCATCCTCCATGGAATGGCCACTCTTGGTTTCTCTGCCAGACATGTGTTGGCTAAGTGAGTATAGTATGCGATATTTTAAATAAAACCTTTGAGTACCGTCATTATAGACACAATTAAATAACAATAGGTGTGCGGACATCGGTGTCCTCGCGGTGTTTGACAGTTTAAATGCAATTATGCCTAAAATTACGCATAAAATATGCTTATGCCATAAAAAAAATTAAAATTTTTGCCTACAACTAAAAAGTACGCTACAATTTATTGTAGTTTTAAATTCTACTGTCATTCAGTATTAATAATATAAATTCGACACAAACGCTTAAGAAGACACAGTGTTCAAACATTACATAGGATAGATTTAGCAGATTGGAATGAGACACCTAACTAAGAAGCGTCTTTCTAAGCAATAAACCACACGCAGGTATTGATTTATTGGACAATGTAGTGGCTTATTGTTGTGCACAATAGATTACAGCGAAGCAGAGAGAGAAAAAATTAGTATTATGTAATTAAAAGTTGTTCCAACAATAACCTTTAATAACATGTGAATATAATACATTATACAATCACGTATGTCGCGGAGAACCTAACGGGTAACCGGGGCTCCGGCTCGACGTGCAGGAGAAGGAACGGGGTGGTTTTTAGTCAGTAAGAGTCTGACACTCCCTTCCGCCTCACCCAGGCGGGAGCAGTCATTCGATGATTTTCCCCCCTTAAAAAAAATACAATCACGTATTTGTCAATTTTTTTTACAAATAATTTAATGTAAATTCCACAAACTTTTAAACCGAACAATCTCTATCTACCCAGGTATGGAGGCAATGAGCCCAGCAACTTCAAGGCTCTGAAGGCTCGCTTCGTGAAGCCAGTGCTCCCAGGCCAGACCCTCGTCACCGAGATGTGGCTCGAAGGCAAACGCGTCCACTTCCAGACCAAGACCAAGGAAACTGGCAACATTGTCATCGCTGGTATGTAAAAATTGTCTTTATTTTGGAAGATTTAAGATGCATTTTTGCTGGTTTTCTTGCAAAAACCCATCTTTGATTTGTTTGTTTATGATCATAATGATGCGTTTATTTATAATGATTAGTGGGAATAACATAGTTATCGTCTGTAAATAATTACCAGAGAATTTTGATTACTATGTTGGGCCCAAGTGTATTACTTTTTTTTATTGGTATGACGTCTGGTGAATACTGGGAGTAGCTTGGCCAATGACGTCATCCATTTGAGTTCTTAGAGAATTTGTACCAAAAAGTGTAGCTTTTTCTGTTTACCTAGTTAAAATACCTAAATACTTTTAATACTATTTTATTTTTTAGGAGCGTACGTCGACTTCAAGAACATTGTATCCAGCCAGGGTGCGTCAAGCTCTGCCGCCGCTCCGGCCGCAGCGCCATCTAGTGGTGCTTTGAAGTCTGACGGTCTCTTCCACAAGATCAAGGAAGAGGTCGGCAAGAACAAGGACTTGGCCAAGAGCATCAATGGCGTCTTCTTGTACAATATCACCGAGAATGGAAAGACTGCTAAGAGTTGGAGTGAGCATCTAACATATTTGTATATTGCATTCTTATTTGTAGTAAAATCAATATCCTTTTGTGTAATAATTTGATAAATGATAGAACACCCATTTTACGCGAAATATTCGCCATTTAAAAGCCTATTATCACAGATTGAGTTCAGAGTTATTTTATTACAGAGAAGTTCAATCATAATCGAAACCTCATTTCATTTTCATGAAGGAAACTTATAAGTATCACTAAAATAATATGTTTATTTCTTCACAGCTTTGGACTTGAAGGTTCCTGAAGTATATGAAGGCCAACCAAAGAGCGGCAAGGCTGACACAACCATGACCCTTTCCGACAGTGATATGGTAGACCTAGCTGCGGGCACCCTCAACCCACAGGTCGCCTATATGAAGGGCAAACTCAAGATTGCAGGCAATTTGATGCTCGCGCAGAAACTTGGACCCCTACTGAAATCCCCTGCCAAGATCTAAGTTAAATAATGGGAAATGGATATTTATGAATGATTTACAATCAAAATCTTATTACCAGTAATAAGCATTAAATGCGAAAGTATTATAAGCAATAAAATCATCTTTTAAGAAAATGTTTTATATTTTGTTTTGTTTCAAAGACTTTTTATTTTGCCAGAAATTGCATTTATGTATATTACTGCTATGTGATCTGTGATATGACTTTTAAAGACCGAGTAATTCCGCTGGAAGGCAATTTCTGGCTCTTCTGTTTTCTTGTCACAATCAAGTGAAGAATGTATATTATTTTGTATGGTGATGGAAATAAACACCACTTTTATAAAAACATTTGTTTTATTTACTTAACCATTGGTCTGTTCTATTGGAACATAGATTGAGGCAAGATGCAATAATAATATAATTTGTTAATGTCTCATATACAGGCAAATACAGGTTAAACATTTGGTATCAGTTTCCCTTCGAGAAATAAGTTTGCTTCTTTAACTTCAGTCTCCCATGCCAGTTTCATATGAAGTTGCTCAGTTAAGTCTATGAACTTGCTAGCTTGAACTTCAGGCAACTTCTTTGTCGATACAGCAGTTCCAATTATACAGCAGTATGTTCCTATAAATGAGATTAATTTATGGACTAGGAATCGGTTATTTGATGATGTAGCAGTAGCTATACAGCTATACATATATATAGACAGTCGATCTTTAGCAATTAGCTATTAGCATTGGTAAAACATAAACATAAAAATAACTATGAGCTTCGTCTGAGCATGGCTTAAAACTAGTCGAGTTCCTCGTCCAACAGTTACGTGAGTAAGCCGAAAACATAATAATTAATTAAGCTATAGCATATCAAAGCAATGTGCAATTGAACGAATACAACTTTATTTAATCTTGTACAGTTTAGAAAGGGAACTAAAACGTTACTCACCTTTTCTTAGTGAACTTTTATCAATAATGCCGTGTGCAGATTCGCATTTCGTAATTTTTGCTCGTCCTGTTGAGTCGGATATTATTAAAATGTCTGCGCCTACCGTTTGTTCGATGGTGCCTTGTAACCACACATCTATCGGTGGCGGTTTGTTGATTAAATCTTTTAGTAAATACTTTCGCGGATCTAGAGACATTCTAAATAGTTTACAATAAATTAATAATAAAAAGAAACTGTTACGAAACGTTGGCTTGGAAGTTCAATTTATCACTTAACTTTGACTTAATGTTAACTTTTCTCAATCAAATATTGATTGTTTACAATTATATTCAACTGTTTAATTCAAAAATAATAATTAGGTAGGTACCTAAATTGTTTTTAATTTTGTTAGTGGCGAAACTACATTATATTTTTCATTCAAAGTTCGAATTTCGAATATTATCATTCGAAAAATGACAGCCGACTAATAGATAAGATAATTGACATTTGACATCTATTCTGCCTGACAGCAAATTGCGGTAAATGTTGCCATACAAAATTAAAATCGTATATTTACTGTAAAAATAGACTTCCGTAAATAATTTCGTCCCATAACATAAAAACTTGAACTTATGGTTGTGATCTTGGGCTTTAAAGCAAGCTTCATCTTATTTTTACTTTAATTAAAACAAGTTGACACAACGCGAACGCAGGTTCTCAGACACCATTACCACCAAACGCGCGAAGTTCAAATCTTACATATTCTTGCAATTTCATAATGAGTATCGCAGGCTTGTTTGTAACATCCCCCTTCATTTGTTTATACAATTAAGGCAGTTAAAAGACTTGAAATTGTAACAAATATTTCTACTTATTTTGGATTTAAGGAGGCTCATAAGATACTACTTAAAACCAACGTCATATTGGCGAAAAAACTCAATAATGCTTTGCTTCTCTCAAGAATTGAACTTCATAGACCTCTTACTTAAATGTTTATTAGTTGTCTCTTCGACCACTGGACCGATGTAGTAAAGCCATACCTTGACATTATTTTGATTAGATTCAGGATTTATGTTAACTTAATCAATCCCCAAAAATATTATGGATTTTAGATATAAAAACAAACATCCGAACATAGTAAGTACCTCCTCCTGTTTTTGAAGTCGGTAATTATTAATACAATAACGTAAACCAGACCCATACTTTACATCAAGTCGAAGGTCACACTTGCGATTGCGATTCCTCTAGCGAAATCAATATTCTAAGAATGCGACGACGAAATAAGGCCTCAGATGTTGCCCTGAGGAACACCTCTAATCTATCTATCATCATCTTCTTATCTGTTCAGAATAGAAGATTTAATAAAAAAAACAAAATGTTCTGATTAAAATCTGTTCTGATTAAATTCAAGCCTTAAGATATTACCTACTTAAATTCATTTTAAAATAATTTAAACAACACGTTTTGTTGTACAAGTGATGTGTAATTTGAGTAGGTAGGTACAATATTGGAAAAATTGTAAAATCCTCATGTTCATCCACATATCTACTAACTTCTTAACCCCCGATTATGAAAAGTCCACAGCATTAGTTCATACAAAAGTAGTCTCTAAACGTCGGAAAGCTAATACCAATTATCTGTGTACCCACCGAGCTTGTTCGAACATTAAACTCTAAATTACGAAGTATTAAGAAATGTAGACAAAAATAAACGTAATGTCTTCCACTCACGTACAACATGGTTATAACTATTAACCATCATAATCGATATCGTAAAATGACTGTTAATGACTCAATTTAAGCACTCCACATGGAATTTTCAACGCAGATTACCGCCACAATTATTTCATCCGCATCAACACGTAATCAGTTGTTTATAAAGCGACGCTGCAAGCATGAAATCACTCCGATACTCGAAGCCGGCCCATAACAACTCAATCAACGCAATTTTAAAATAAACCTTTTTTTATGCCGTACAAACACTGGCCGCCTTGAACAAAAAAATATTCCCCGGCGAAGGTCTTAATAATGACTTTCTCGAGAACTTGTTACATGTGGACAGCGTATAGTAGTCGTATGTGCGCCATCTGTGAAATGATGGGATTTTGAACCTTATTTGTTGAAAACAAGAAAGATAAAATTTAAAAATATCTTGGAATATATTTGTTCAGGTGTTATTTTTTTGTGCTACTAATATACACTTTTTGGTAGTTTATTATATCTCGAAATGTACCTTACTTAATATATTATACCTATCTAACCAACAGTTACATTTCAACAAATACGATTTATGAAAAACCTCTTATCATTCATCTTAATCCTTGATCCGACAGAGCCGAAGACAGTTCATTCGGACTTGTCCGGTCGGTACCAGTAGAAAAATAAAATAAAATAAAAACGCAACAAGTCTATTTCGTTCAGAGAGCGTTTATTCCAAAGAGACATAAGAGGTGGGAGTGGGGTCGGGAAGGGAAGAAGATATGAAGCTGTCATCTGGCGGTGCGGCGGGGCTCTCGACTCTAAACACAACTCAATCGGAGGCGCGCGCGTGGCCCGGACGAACGTACCCGCGTACCCGGTCTTTCGTTCGCCATAAACAAAACGCAAACAAATACAACAAAGTTATCGACGGAAACTAAACAGAAAAACGGAGTTCATAAATAAAACTTTACAAGGAAAATCAAGAAAATAGTGATGGTTTAACGTGACGTTCATAAAACAGTGATATATTTGTGGGAGATCGTAAAAGTTTAACAAAAACAGGAGTTCTAAACTTTCCAATGAACGCGAGCCATGTGACTACGGCGAGAGCGGCGAAGCAAGATTTGTACGTGCATTTATCTTATTTTAACTTTATTGTAACGTTTCTAATAATAGAATGGACGAAGGAATTCTGCTTGTTCACTTAGTTTAAGATGAAGATAATGCTAAGATTATTAGAACACTAGTGTCTGCAAATCATCGAAAAAAATATTTTAGAAGATTTTGTCTAAGCTATAAATTTGCGACTTTCAATACTATTAAGTATGCGTGTACCTACTACTTAGGCAAAAATTGAAATTTTCATATTCATTTCAGTAACAAATAACATAGGCACGAAACGATTTGGACGAGGCCAATTACATTACATTGTAGAACAAGTATCTGTAATGAATTGATTATTTACCGTAAGATTTAAGGTCACGCATGTCATGATTTATACAATGAATGCGGTACGTAGCACCAATAACAGGGATCGCAAGTTAATTCATCGCATAGTAAAACACATTTGCATATTCGTGATATCGCATAGAAATAACTCAATTGATCGAGTAAGTACTGAAACAGTATTGTCCTCGCCTTTCCCGTGTCCTTACTCATAGCGAACGTGTACAGAACTAATGAGATGGTCTATTAAATGTTTGACGTAAATATATCACTTGACAAATAGCCGGACGATATTTAGTAGAGTGCAAATAAAGGTTTACCGACAGCATAAATTCGAAGACTATTTTCGCATAAATTGAGGAGGTGAAGAAAAAGACGTGCACAGTATTTGTAATTATCGTGTATTCTTTGAACAGGGGTTATTCAGAATCGAGACGAATAATGTTAAAGCACATAAAGTCTAGGCTTGAATTAACTTTAGACATAAAACTGCAAACAACAGGCATCTTTAAGATTGTTTAAATATACCGCGGGCATTCCAAGCCGATTATATATTATAGGCATCTTCAGAAGACTTATCATTTATTAGTTCTAAGATCTCCAGTATGGGCCGAAGGTGTTGGACAGCCGTTGACGTATGAATTAGTCATTACATGACAATTTTCTAATCTAGACGGACGCACGTTCCGCACATAAAGCTGTATTCAGCGCGCCGATTGATTTATTGCCGTGCGCTGTCCATAGTAATGTTTATCTTCCCTTTCTTACCTGTATAGTCCCGTCAAGGACAAACTAATAAACAACAAAGGCGAAGCAGATTGTATGGAAACTAATTTGAGATAATATTTTACTGTAAACTGAAACAAACACAAGGAGATAAAGTTTGGATGGTCCATAAAAAATTGGGCGACTACTGCAAGTCTCAAACTTAAATGGTGTCATATTTTAATGTAGTTACCAAAGTCTTATTGGTTAGACACAGTCTCTTTCTCTTCTCTTTGATAATTTCTGAGAGATTCTAACGGCTTGTGCAATTATTCGGTATAATCTGTTTAAAGAGTTTAACAAGTCGTCACCGAGTGGCTGTAAAACTTCAATGAGTTGCGATTTGTAACGCAACACGAATAAGTAACAGACCCATTTAAAATACACAATACAGAAATATCAGTGCAAACTGTCAACGTTTTAAAAAGTTGTTTAATTTAACGACCGAAACGTCTCGCGAGTTTCGCAGAATGAGTGGCGGGCGGAAAATTATGATAATTTCGTTTTAGGTATCCGACAATAGACTAACGATGAGGCTCAGGCAGATATTGGAGTAACTAAGAATTATAATATAGTTCTGATGGCATATAAGTAACTAATACGTAGATTTCACTGAATCTTTAGGTAAAACGAATAAATCTGAAGATGAAGAGTCATCAAACGGAGAAAAGTTAATATCATCATCCAATACGTAGAATAACTTGTATCGTCCAGATTTTTAGGGCTTAATAGATTTCTAAGCTGAACTTGAAACAAATGTTGCCATTAAAGGGTTAGAAACAGTATAATTTGTCATTCGATTATTGCTTTTTGTTCCTTCCTACAATGATATTCATGTAATACCGAATGGTAAACAATAAAACTCCAGTTCATTATTCCGTATTTGATAACACGATGACCTTTTTTGGCTCATTTGAAATATTTCCAGAACCGGAAAATTCTACGTTGATATTTGTCGAAGATCTTACTAAGTTTGCATTGTGGTTGTGTAAACTAAACAGATGAACCGGGAATTGTCCCGCTTTGAGAATGATTTCTTCCGAAATGTTTATTTTCTTTTTACAAAGCGAGAAATTGGATAGCTACTGCAGAGTCAGTTGTCTCTAATCTAATGTTTACCTTCGTAATTAACTTTAAATGACGAGCCTTCAAGAATATCAAGTTACCAACGTGCCTTATCTTTGATTTCTAGTACAGCATATTCTTCTCTCCATTGTTTTGTTTGTATAAGCTTTAATATTATTTGTTAGTCACATGATATGACACAATACGTTTATACTTCATGTGATCGAATAGAAGCTATAATATTAATATCGTTTATTTATTTAGGGGTTCTATAAGTAGATGCAATC